AGACTCTGGAACTCCTTACCCCAGTCCATTAAAAGTGCTCAATCTTTAAATGTGTTCAAGAAACAAATTAAGGAACACTATTTGTCTCTTTAACTCCTCTCTCTTTCTCCTCTTAGTTATGGTCACTAATATACCTTAAGTATGTTGTCATTTTATAGTATATAAGTTGTATTTTTTTGTCTAATTCAGTGCACCCTACCCGTATATCTTATTTTTATTTTTATTTTTATTAATTTCCTCTTCTGGGTTGTCTGGAAGAGATTGCTATGTAGCAATAAGACCGCCTTTTGTTTTTCCCTCATTGTTCATTATTTGTTATATTTATGTTTTGTTGGTGTACAATAAAGAGTATTGTATTGTATTGTATTGTACTTACAAAATGAAGAGCGCGGCACAAATTTTACCTATGGCGTGAAAACAATCGGCGGAAAATATTGGTCTTCAATAGAGAATTCCCAGAAAAACAAGATGCTACGGAGGGCATACGGATGATCCCCAACACCATCCAAAAAGAAAACAGGATAAATAGCTCACATGTATTTGTTTCGTACCAATTTAGTGCGAAAGTATCATTGATACAAACCAGTTCTACAGCGTACCAGTTTATTTCTGTTGCTATATGAGACCAAAGATTTATATAGTTTAGATACGCCTTCACCATGAAAAAGTGTAGCATTATTTTTGAATGTGTGCGTTTGCAAGACGCTGACGCGCGCACGCTAATATAACGCACAACATTAAATAAATAATACGTGCGCAATACGGTCAGCATATTCATCAAATTGTAAAGTGTAAATAAATACAGTATTAATGTGAAAAATAAATACAGATGTAAAAATAAAACACGTTTTTAATATTAGTTATCGTTTATTGTCCATGAAATAAAATTAGTTTATTATATTTTTGCCTGTTTGTTTTTTTAACATTTTTATGAATATAATGAAGACGTACATCAGCGTAGGATTTGATTACAGATTTTATTAGTAAAATTTTATGGTTCTAAGTTGCTGGTTGTTCGAGGGAATGAGAGGTTAAATCTTTGAAAACATTTGATTTAATTAACAAACTCAGAACTTTTATTTGCAAGGCATTATAGTCATTTTCATTGTGAAAATAATTATTTCCTTGTAATTTTTTATTAAGCTTTAGAAACGCTTCTGTTTTAATACAAATGTCAAATACATCGCGCGAAGATAAAAACAAGCCGCCTAAGTTTCTTAAAGTTATCAACCTATGAAAACTTAGTTTTTGATTACTCATCAAAGCGCTGCAACATATTTGACATTTAATTTTCTTAACCATTTTCTTAACGACCCACCCTGATATATACCCGACGATTTGCTGTGAGATCTCACTTATATTTTTTTCTTCATCTAATAAAGTTGACAGAATATCACTATTAATTTGACATCGTTCGTCCTCAGCTGATTGCGATTCATTTATCGTTGATTCAGCAAACTGATGCTGGTCGCGGAATCCTGGTGTGGTCACGTTAATTGTTTTAAGAGCTGATTGATTGAATAATTGTCTATAGGCAAGCAATTTCCCGTAAAACTGCTCCGTAGTTCTAAGTGGCAAAGTGTTTTTTTATATATACCACGAAACTGCTCTGTAGTAGGATTGTTATTGTGCCCGCCGTGTTGTCTGATAAGTCCAAAAAAAGTTCAATATAGTCTTGACTCAACCTATACGTAGACAAGTAATTCATTACTTTATTTTGTTGAATCAATTCTGTGTATAAGTATTTCAAACTCTGAATGTCTATCAAAAAACCAAGAAATCCCATTTTGCATTTAGCTTTCGTGACTAGTGTTTTACTAACATTTATTTTTATTCCCTTTCCTCTGATAATTTTAACTTTATTGTAAATTTTTAGCGACTTTATGTAAGCTTCTGCTTTATCCAGAAAATTAAATATCTCATTTTTATTTTCTACACTAAGTGGTCGTTTGAATCCTTGTTTATAAGTGGTCGAATTAAAGATATCAAACAAATTATTAAACGTTTCGATAAATTGTACAGTAGCCTCAACGTTCTTAAAGTTATTTCCAGTTAGCATTTCTGAGCATAAGATCAGCGCTTTTACTACACTTCGACTCAATAATTGGGTTGCAAGGTTAACTTTCATTATTTGATTCCTGAAAGAAATATGACGTACTGTCAGTTTGTTTGCAAGCTGAAAGCCCTCTTTTTCTTGAAGTTTTTGCAATCTGAATAGATACAGCCATGCAACTCGTCTGCCGTTACTAAACAAAACTTTTTTTGACTCGAACGTATTCCTCACTAGCTTAAGCATATGACACGCATCGAAAAAAACAGCAACTCTTTTGTTCCTGCATGCCGGATGAGGAAAAGTGGTTTTTAAGCTATCAATGTCTTGAAAATTGCAACCTAGAATTTCAGCTGCTGCTACGTTTGCTGAACAACCATCAAACGTCAGTGCAACTATATTGACACCGACGTCGTAACACTTAATTATACACATTTTTATTAAGCCTGCACGTTGTTCAGCTCATAGGCTATTAATAAAAAAGAAACCTAACGGAATTTTCCAGTTTTCTGTATTCGAAACTAGCATAAAAACGTAAACTTGAGTTGCAACTTCATCTTTTGGACCTAAGCCTTCATTTACAAGTCCCATAGTCTTACGACCATTCCAGGTTGTCCTTTTGCGTATTGCCATTTCGTCAACGACCAATGTTGCTATAACCGGATTCCGGTCAGATTTTGTACGGAGTTTTTTAAATGCCTGTTGATTGAACCCAGGGGTGACATCACTTTTCTCATACCATTTGACTATAGTACGTGGATGCGGTAAGGTATTTTTACATTTAGCCCTTACGTACTTATAGGCAGCCGGTGAATAGTAATGTAAGTTTGCGCAGAATTTTTTGACAGATAGCGGAGTTATTCTCCTTCTTTTGGCAATTGCAAGCAAGAAATCGTTGTTTGCTTCCTCAGCCTTCTGTGTCAATTCATTGAAATTTTCTTTGTTAAAATACCTTTTGTTTTTTAAAGACTTCACTAACTCTCGCAGGGAAGTATTCTTGGATTTTAGGTACTTGTTTTGCTTCTTCAGTTTTGTAATTTCTCTTCTGCATTTATCTCTTTTACTTTTTTCAATCCTCAATTTTTAAGATAAATTTTTCTCGGTGTGTCGAAAATAGAGTCTGTGTCTGACACATATACATCGTGTAGAGGCGAACTAGGTACAGTTTCTTTATTTAGGTTAGCACACAAATCTTGTAAAGTGCGACGACAAACTGGTATAGCTTGAAATTTAATTTTTCTTCGTCCAAGCGGCGTCAAATAAAAATCATTTTCCATAAAATGCGCAGAGCAAACTCGACTAAATTGCGTAGGTAACCACTCCTCATCTCCCTGGTCTTGTTGTATTACCTTTGTACATTTTTCTTTGCAACGTGGGTCTTGTAGAAATCTAAAAAATTTAAACCTAATTAAAAAAATACTTTTATTATTTAAATTCTATTTTCGTACAATATTAGTTCAATATTATTTTGAGCAAAATTTGGGAACCACTGGCGTAACAGAACATACAAAAAACACAGTCAAATTACGGACTACTTCCTTATCGAATACCAAGTGTAATTTAAAAGATCAACCCTTTCACAATTTTAATCGAATTTTCTGTTCGTCGAATGTTTAATACCTTATAATTAAATTACGTTTAATTAATTACTATACTTAAATTTATAATTAAATCAAAATACGAAATAAAAAAAGTCTTAGCAAAATATTATCTACTATTTTTACACTGACGAATTAATGTAATTTTAAACCATATCTGCTGACGCTACTACGGTATTTCCGTCTGTTTATTTCCATTTTAAGATGATCCCTTTGTAAACCGCTTTCTTGGGACATTCGAGTATCTAACTATATTGGTTATAGAATAGTTCTGAGAAAGTGAGTTTGAGTAGTGTCGTCTCTTATTATCTTGCGGAAATTGTGTATACTACCTTCACTGTCTACCACGGCATTGCCGTCTGTTTATTTCGATTTTAAGATGATCCCTTTAAAAACCGCTTCCTTGGACCATCCGAGTATCTAACTAAATTGGTTATAAGAAGAGTACTGAGACAATAGTGTCATCTCTTATTATCTTAGGGAAATTGTGTATACTACTATCTCTGTCGCACAGTTTCCGTTTGCTCGTAATTATTTCGCGGTAATTTCTGACATCGGAATAAAATAAATTCAATATTTAATAAAATATAGATACTTACGAGTGAAATGTTACACCTTGGGCTTTATTTGTGTTTCTAGAATTATTATTGCACTTTCGAAAGGCACAAGATGGCATTCTGAGAGTTTTTTTTTAAGTAAAATCAGCACGTTAGTTCCAATGTGCAACGTCTGGCTGTCAACGCCGCACAAATGAGGACTGATTGCGAATGAGTGACCTCACTCATTTGAGAATAAACACATTTCGGAGTGCTCATATTATGGTAAGAGCGCATCTAAACTATATAAATCTTTGTATGGGACATGATGCTCTCGTCCTAATATTGGCGGAATGCTTCATACGTACTTCCGGACGGCGTGGTTTGCCCTGTTCTTTCCGGAAGAAACGTTTCTCTTTCACCTTGAAAGGAGTCCATGGGGCGCCAATCAAAGTGAAGAGAAGTCGCATCTCCTTCGAATAGGGCCGCATGTCCAATGTCATCCGCCACATCATCATTATCTACTTCCATCCTTCTCCTTTCGGCCCTCCGCTCTCGAGCTTCCCTATCAGCCACCACTCTCAAAATCCTATTGCGCAAATCCTCATGCACATCATCGTCTGTCACACATACTTGTACAAGGTGGTCGCCGCGCCACCACGATGAGGAGGCGGAGACGCGAGCGAGCAGGCCGCCTCGTGCCTGACGCCCACCCGCTGCTACCGTCGCTGGGAACCGCACACCTCGCACAGCACCACAACTTGAACTCGCCACCACCTCCTCGTGATAAAGTTCATGCTGGTCCGCCAACAAATACTAGTTGCCGTTCTCCTTATCTAACCGCTCAACGACAACGACCACTTCTGGACGAAGATTTCGCCTGTAAGACAAATATAAAAATTATATAACATAATTTAGTTCACTTATATTTTATGTAATACTAGCTGTTCCCCGCGACTTCGCCTGCGTATTAATTTATGACCTTTAAAATTGATGGGTTTTAAATTATTTGTGCGGTACCCTAATTATTCCTAATAACACCAATTATCTGCCAGTGAAAGTCCCGATAAAATAGTCCATAGAGAAGGGAACGTCACGGCGACGCGGCGTCGAATGGTTTGTGTATTGCTTTTTTATAACTGTGATAAATTCTAAATTAAATATCTGATTTGAATGAATTACTGCTACATAAATACCCTTAATGATAAAACTATCTATTCTAATAAGAATTAATACTACGAAACTAACCGACTAACCATCCTAGCTACCACGGCTCCTATAAACTGTTAAATATAACGTAAATGTATGTAGTAGAATAATTATATACAAATTAATTAGATAGAATCAAAGATGAAAATAGTAACTAGTTACAACAGTTAGAAGACAACATAGAGTCAGTATAATTCTTTCATGGGGCAACGTAGGTATATGCTTTTATAACAAAGTCCCATAAAATATAAGACCTTATCAATCAGTTTAAATTTTAGTAAGCAAAATTTGTTTAGTAAAGGTTATTATACTACTTAAGAGTATTTGATTGATAATAACCCTTGGGAATGAGGAGATTGCTACCATGCCGTTTCTAAATGTTTTCATACTAATTTTATTCTATAAAAAATATTGTAAATTAATTCTATTCACCAAAAGTCGCGCTGGATTTCTAACTCTTTCTTCCCAAGACGGAGGCTTTTTCATATCTCTAATTTATAAGAGTGAAGAATTTTCATTGAATATGGACAAAGTTTAAAAACTGTGGTAGCTTCTATATACTTTTTTTGAAAAAGTTTTAATACAAAGATAATAACAAAATTAACTTACGAAAAAGATGGTGACACTGGTAACGGCGGATTTACTTGTGCTGGCTTAGTGGAAGGTGCGGGTCCTAAAGGGAGACTTGGACACTCCAACTGCTGTCCATGTTCATCAAACATGGCTAGTAGGAAAACCTCATTGGAGTTTTCGAAAACCCCCTGCAATCCTGCTTCTGAAAAACAAAATGAAACATTTAGGATACACATATAACGTATTTTTATGGTCATAAGTTGGATTGACCAGGATAATACTGCTGTCTTAATTAGTAAGTGAGAACAACCGGAGACCCTTTTCATAGATGTGTTTTTCATGATTACGTTATATGATAGGTGTATATAATTTATTGGCTGTTTTAATACAAATGGTGTATAAATATCAACATGTATATACATATATGTGGGACGGTAAACTAACATGACAGGAGAGAGATCAGGCGCAGGACTGTACATGCTTTTCGAGGTACGGGGGTGAGACAGCGCCAACTTCCTGACTCTGGGCAGCTACTGGGAATTTCTTGACGGAAAAAACTCATTAAATAATTTTATTGACCCGACCCAGGATTCGAACCTCATAATCAGCAGTCGCGTTATACAACCACTATATGCACCCATATTTATAATTATAATAAATAACTTACAACATAATTATGTTAAAATGTTTCTTCCTCTTCGCTGAGATCGCCGTCGTCTGAGTCACACCATAAAATATCAAATATCGAAAAGAGTAATAAGACAAAGCTTATAAAATTTGTATAAATGAATTATGAAATACTAAATTACCACACTGAAATAACTACTATATAGAAAAAAAAACACTCAAAAATCCATAAAGAAACACACAAAATATTTACAAACAAATAATATATACATGCTCGACTATTTTTATAACATCACACAAAAAAACATGTACATTCAACTCTCAAATCAAATTAACGCACTCACAAATTACATAATATTTGCTCTTTGCACATATTCATGGATATATTTAATATGCTTAATTATTCTTATTTTCGAATACAAATTAAAATCTTGTTTATGCTACCTATTTAAAAACATAACTAAAAGGCGCTGCATTAAATGACCTATTAAATAATCTTGATAATACTCCCTTTAATGAAGCAATATTATGTAATCGCGAAAAATGTGCTGATTTGCTTACATCTTATCATAGTTGTCTCACTGTTTTGTCTCAAAATATCCGTAGCATCAATGCTAATTATTCAGGACTTTTAACGTTGTTAGAAAGAATTAATACTTGCTGCGACATTATCGTTCTCTCTGAATGCTGGCTATCTTGTAATCCTATAATACCGACTCTCAAAGAAAAGAAATATATAACCTAAAATTATATCGACATCGTAATAATACATATTTATTTGTTGTTTATGTATTGTTGCGCACCATCTAGTGTCGGGTAACAGAGCGGGGAGAGCTTTCCAGAAAATGACATGACTAATCTTTCAACCGACAGCGCCATCTAGTATCGAATTGAAGAACTAAACTTTCTAGAAGCCTCATACTCTAACCTTCGGCGCCTGATCGGTTGTCGCGCGTATTTACTTGAATATTCTGGATGTTTCGGTGAAAATGTTTATTTAAATGCGCTGCAATACGCAATCGGGGAAGTATTGAATTTGGCGAGACAAGCTAAGCTTCGGAGTGAAATAAAGTGAATCAGCGTGATTAATTATTGGCTGAAAAGGAACCCAACGGGCTTAAACGTTCGATTAAGCAACAGAAGGGAGGAATCGAGGCTTCTCTCGATCCGGCCTCCTATAACGCCTACGTTGGGTTCGGGAACAACGTATGTGATCTCCGCAACGGAGTAACACACAAGGGCGATAACCTCTTCCTTTTCAGCGAGTAGGTTCAGACGGGGATTACGGGTCTTCCGAAGTCGTCCCGGTCCCAACGCCTTAATTCTTCGATGTGGACTGTGTAATTTTGAGGGATGAATTTCTTGGGGATAAAACAGCAATTATCTTCAAACCGTTCCGTGAGAGAGTAATTACTTTTCCCTATCACTTCCCTACACTTTTTCTTTCTTCTTCTTATTGACTGCTGGTCTGCACTTTTCCCGAAGGATTTTCGAACTTCCCCGAAGGATTCCCGAACTATCTTCTCGAACTATCTCGAAGGATTCCCGAACGAATTGCAATTTTTTTTTTTTGCGCCCGAAGCAATTAAAGGGCTACCCTGTACGTAGGGAGGCGGAAAAAATATTACGCATACCACGATAGCCGGTCTATCGTGGTTATGGGGGACTCACTGTCCTACCGGGGACCCTAAGTGATACCCCCTAAAAACCGCCTTTGGGGACAGGCAACCGGCTGATTAAGCTCTATTGTGCCTTATCATGAGCGACCCTCTTTTGGGAAAAGAGGGCGCAGGCGGCTAAGTGCCGCTGAGGGAGTGCCTACGAAGGCAGATTAATGTCAGATATTACAATAATTTTATTTAATTAGAGTTGGCCTGAGCCGCCAGGACGTTCAGGTCGTTTGAAAGTTTATTAGGCGGGTCCGAGAGAGAGTTTCTTGGCCTGCGGACACGATAGCGAGAGGGGGGGTGGGGCTGCATAAGAAGCTGCCTCACGAATTAAATGGTTTGGGTGCGACTCTGAGGCTTTGAAGAAGTTCTCAGAGAGTTTTTTAAGAAATTGTTGAATTGTTGGGAGCTCTAAGTCCCGATGAAGGTCGGCATTACGAACGTACCACGGTGCGTTCGCAGCTCGACGACAGAATAGGTTCTGAACTATTTGGAGTTCATTTAAAATGTTAGGGTTTGCGTGGGCAAAGACGGGGCCCGCGTAGGAATGAATTGCAATAAAACTCATTTACTAAGCTACCCCAGAGCTATACGCGAAAGTGAGCCGCGCCATTCGCGCGCTTGCACGCAACTCAATTACATGAATTTGTTCTATTACTCTCAGTTTTACTTAATTACTTTATTTGCATAAGTCATACATCAATACAATTTATCTGTATAGATAGCAAAAAACAATATCTACACTACGATATACATTACATTTTCATATCACGAAAAACCTTTTATTTATTAAATGAAATATGCCTATTTTACTCACAAGTTCGAAGTCGAAATTTCTAAATATTTAACACAGAAAGTTAAAACAATGTTTTCCACTTGAAATTATACATAAGTTAACTAATACAATAGTTTAATTTACATTTTCTCTATTTATTTCGCTATTAAAACACTTTTAAATTTCTTATACAAAACTATCATTATTTCACTTATACACAGGAATTTTCACATAAAAATAACACAGAATTCACCTTCTTTAGCACGTACAATCAACCTGAAATGTTTTACAAGTCATTTTTACATAAATTGCTGAAATTACAAACATTTTAAATTTTTACATATTCGGCCTCCTAAGGGCGTGGCCAGCGTGCGTCTATGAACTCACACTATTTGAACAACTAACTTTTGCACGGCTCTCGGCTATCAGAAAAAATGAAAGTCTGATATACACCAATTTTAACAATATTGGGTGAATAAATGCATCTACACAATTTTCAAACTGTAGGAAACTATTTCTAATCAGATTCTTATCAGTTATCATGTTTCTTATCAGATAACAATGTAAGTGAATGTTCTCATAAATCAATCATGGCAAATAGGCATTTGTTTTCGTACAAAACATATCAAACTCATATAAGACAATACTTATGCAATTAATTTCCGTTAATTCTATTTATGCACAGAGTGATCATCTCGACCGGGGAACAAATCCGATCTTTAACTTTATTTAATTATTCTTTTAAATTTACATCATTGGAAAGATGATTTCAACCGGGGAACCAATCCGGTAACATAATTTATATCTTAAAATTCCCTATATGAATTTATTGAAAGATATTACTTAGGAAAACAATAAACTAGTCCGGCCTGGGAGTCGAACCCAAGACATTCATATCATTAATTCGACATTTCTTCAAGATTTAACTAAGCATTTTCTTATTAGAACATTGCTATTGGACAATATGCCTTTGAGACGTTATTCGTCATCGGTTGACTTAATAAACTGAAATATTCTTATAGGCGCGTCGCCAACAATCTCACCCCGTGCGTTAGCACCATCATTTGGGAGGCGTCGCGGGTACCAGGACTATTATTCTGGATGTAGGTCTCCTCAAGATACCTGTGCTAGTAATGACGTCAACCACTCTGGTGTGACCGTCTGGTCCCGGTAGCGTTCTACTAATTTTGCCTTTCGGCCACGTATTTCGTGGCAACGAATGATCTATTATCAAAACAACAATTCTTTAGGTTCCATGAACTTTCCGTTATTACCTGTTCGAGGTATTAAAGTAGGCATGTATTCTTTCAGCCATCTTGTCCAAAAATGGTCGGCTAACCTCTGTGCAGCTTTCCAATTGAGTTGACCCGTCAGATGTTGCTCTAAAAATAATCCAGGTGGTCGATCACCACATGAGCGTCCCAGAAGAAAATGGTTGGGTGTCAAACCCTCTTCAGGACTATCCATACTGAATGTTACCAGAGGCCTGGAATTTACCGTATGCTCTGCTTCTAAAAGCAGCGTATGTAGAACCTCCTCCCGTGGGCTCCTTTCTTTGAGCGTAGCGGTCAACCCAATTTTAATTACTAACCTTTCCCAGGCGCCACCCATGTGCGGTGCTCCCGGAGGAATAAACTTCCATTTAATGTATTTCTTAAATGACTCATTTTTCATGCCCTCATGGCATTCTTCGCATGCTTTCAATAATTCTTTATTCGCAGCTTTGAAATTTGTTCCGTTATCGCTGTATATAACGGCTGGTTTTCCTCTTCTGGCGATAAATCGCCTCAATGCCATTATCATTGACGCTGGTGTCAATGAGGCTGTAATTCCAGATGTACTGCTCTGGTGGTCAGACACGTGAATAAAACACCCCAACGTTTTTCGTGTCGCCTTCCTATGGTCACACTCATAGGTCCGAAATAATCCACAGCTGAGCATGTAAAAGGTGGTTCATGATGAGTTATTCTCTCCAGAGGAATATTTCCTTGTGGCGCGTTCTGCGGTTTTGACCTGTATGTCCTGCACCACTGACAGTGGTGTGACACAATACGTACTACATTACGTAAGTTCAAGACATAAAATTTCTGGTTCACCTCATTCATCACCGTCTGGTGATTGGCATGTCCAAAATGATGATGAACTTCTCTAATCATCATTTTAACGATTTCGTGTTTACCGTCTAATACGACAGGTTTTCTACTTTCCTCGGTCAAATTAGACTTAAAAGGTAAACGTCCATTTAAACGGAGTAAGTTATCTTCTCCTATTTCCATAGATAATTTACTTAGGCGTGAACTTCTTTCAACGCTTTTGCCTGCTTTCAAGCATTTTATTTCCGAATAAAAATACTCGTCTTGAACGAACTTCCAAATTAACAATTCCGCTTTTTTCAAGAGCGCTATGTCCAACGCGCCATCGGGTCCTTTAACCGACTTTGCTAAAACTTTGTTGGAACACATAACCGACTTTTTCGGCTGCGCTGTCGGGTCCTTAACCGACTTTCTTAAACTCTTGAATTTTTCTACCGCTTGTAAGGTGCGTGTAGTTGCCCCAAGGAATTTCTTAAAGCTGCTAAATCGTCCGTAGTCGGGTAGACTTAACGGTTCTTGCTTTCTCAGCGCATTTACGCCCTTTGGCGATTTTTCTTCACCTGTTTCTAAGCTATTTATGGTGTCCACTTGTTTGGGCCATAAATCAGGACTTTTCCTGAGGAATTCAGGTCCTTGAAACCAGCGATGACTTACATCGAAGGTGGAAGGAAAATTTCTAGTGGCGTCGTCTGCCACGTTCTGTGACGTTGGAACCCATCGCCATTCACATGGCTTGCTGTGATCTTCGATCTCAGCCAATCGATGAGCAACGAATGGTTTAAAAGCGCGAGGATCTGACTTAATCGCACGCTAACACTGTACGTGAGTCTGTCCAAAATACTCTCTCGGATATCTCGTACTTGCTCTCTTCACTAACTGATGCAGCCAGTCTGCTGCCCATAAGAGCTGCTTGCAATTCAAGCCTTGGAATCGAAATTGGTTTCAGCGGCGCTACTCTTGCCTTTGCGGCGATCAGCGTAATCCGCCTTTTTCCTTGCTCGTCCGTGGTGACGTAATACACCGCGGCAGCGTATGCTTTTTCACTAGCATCCGTGAAAGTGTGTAACTCTCCCTTGCCGACGCCTTCAGCAACGGGTCTAGGTACTTCTAAATGACCTAATTTCTTCACTTCCGATATCCATTTACAAAATAACACGTGTAATTCGTGTGAAACTTCTACATCCCAAGAGATGCCTGTCCTCCATACTTGCTGGATCAGCGACTTCCCTTGAATCGTTATGGGTGATGCGAGTCCTAAAGGATCGAAGACTGACATCACAGCGCTAGTTATCTCCCTCTTCGTAGGCGGTCGTAAACCTTCCATCACCTCTTTCGGTGTGTTACGAAGACTTATGGAGAAACTTATTATATCCCGTTTGATATTCCAAATCAAACCTAATGTGCGCTCTGTGTGCTCTTTATCTCCCAGCGAAGCACTGTCGCTCTTATATTTATTTTCCATTCTACTTAAAACTTCGGGTCGGTTGCTAGCCCATCCCCTCAGTTGGAAAGAAGCATGTTTATGTAATTCATACATATCGTTTACTATCCTTTCGGCCGTCGTCACGTCGGGAAATGCCTGTAGGTAGTCATCCATATAAAAATTGCTTTCCGTAGCGGAAGCTGCTTCTGGATAGATATGTGCGTTGTCCTGCGCATTCCTATTCTTTACATATATAGCGATGCATGGTGATGATGCCGCTCCAAATATGAGTGACGTCATTCTATACTCTTCCGGTGGCGCGTCACGATTGTGCCGCCATAAGAATCGAAGGCTATCCCTGTCTTCTTCCCGGATTTTCACTTGCAGGAACATTTCTTTAATGTCTGCCATCACTGCCACGCTCCCCTTCTCTGAATCGTAGCAGAACTCCGAACGACGACTTCAATAAGTCCGGTCCGGTTAACAATGCATCATTAAGACAACGTCCGCCCGTCCTTGCGGCGGCGTCGAAAACTATCCTTATTTTCTTTTTTTGTGGGTGAGTCACTGCGAAGTGAGGAAGGTACCACGTACGTGGGGAAATGGAAATATGGTTCGCTTTCTCTGCGTAACCGTTAACGATGAGATTTTCAATTTGCTTCTCATATTCTTTTTTCAACTCGCTATTCTTATCGAGCTTCTTTTCGATATTAAACAGGCGACTTTCAACCTGCGCTCTATTCGACGGCATGCACTCATTGTCTGTGCGCCATAACAAAGCAGTCTCGTACCTATTATTAGGTATACGACGTACCGTTTTGCTCAAAATATTTAAAGCTCGTTCTTCTGGGTCGTTCGCGGGCTTTCGCGCAGACACTCCCAGAGATTCCAAACTAAAATAATCCTTGATTAACTTATCCATATCTTCCTCCTTCTTGGTGGAAATGTGGTTAACAATCTTGATTGGTTTAATACCACCCGATATGTGACCATGTAAAACCCATCCAAGTTTGGTGAGCGATGCTACAGGTAGGTTCTTACCTCCTGAAATTAATTCACGAGTAACTATGAGATGCCAATTGTCCTGGCCAATTAATATGGTAGGTCTGGACCTCTCATACATCAACTCGTCCTTAATCGGTGTCAAATGAGAACACCGTTGCAATAATTCTCGGCTTACTGACTGAGGAGCAAGGTTAAGTGACTTAATTGTTTGTACACTTATCTCTTCTAAGTCATTCGAGTAAATGCCTTTTATCTTAACGTTTAAGCGATACGAACTGTCGTCGTTAATTCGCTTACCTCCCACGGCTTCGATACGTAATTCCTCTTTACGTCCGCGAGGCGCTAACTTCTGAGCCATCCACTCCTCTATGAGTGTCATGGTCGATCCCTCATCCAGAAGAGCTGTTGTCTTGACCTTTCCTCTAGGTCCATACAACTCGACCGGTATAATCTTTAAGTATGCACATGCCAGTGCATTCACTGTACTAACAGTTGTAATCTGAGCCTCTTTACCCCCCTCGTCCCCTTGTGGCGAGGTATTTTCATTGGGGTATCGGTGTAGCATCCGATGATGTGACATTCTACATCCCTTTACACCACATTTTTTCGCTTTGCACTCTAACCTCCTATGGTTAGGTGACAAACATTGGAAACATACTTTCGCTTTTTTGACCGCGTCCCATTTCTCGCGAATATTCATGTCCTTAAACTTGTAACAACTCACTATAGAGTGCTCCTTGTTGCATATAACACACTTATGTGTTACCCGACTTACAGGCTTGTCCTGGGTTGTCATAACCACTTGTCGGTCGTGCCCTTTATTATTTCGGCGTTCTAGACGCTCGCTCGTATTACTTCGGCGCATATAGCGCTCGCTCTTGGCACAGCTGCGTACACATCCCTTTGCAGTGTGTACAGTTTGCTTCCTGAATTCAGGACGCTTCCGTTTTTCAGGCGCATTTTCATTGCTTAAGGACGTTCCAAATTGTTCACTCAATAAATTTAAAAACTTGGCCATCTTCTGTAACTCTGGCTCCAAAGGATACTGAGCTCGATATTCAAACCATTTAAATTTAATCATAGTTCCGAGTTTCTCCACTATGCGGCTCACTAATACCGGTGAGTATAAATACTGTGGTTGATTCAACGCTTGTATCGTGGCAACCACGTTCGTAATACGACTTGCAAAAGATCCTATATTCCGGCAATCTTCTGCCAATCTTGGCATACGCTTTACATTCTCGATTTCGGCTAGAATGAGCATCTCAACCCTACCGAATCTTCTCTCGAGAGCGTTCATTATTTCTTCAGGTTCACACAAAGTAAATAACAGCGACTTAACCGCCTCTTTAGCGGTGCCCTTTAATGCCCTCCTAAGGCGTGCGAGATTCTGCACCCCTGAAAATTGGCTTCTTGTGTCTTCAAACACCGTTTTGAAAATTATCCATTCACCCGGGTCTCCATCGAACACCGGTAATTCCTGGAGGAAATGAAGCTGGGAAGACTTATCTTTACCCGCTATTTTTATTGCACTCACAATCGCTTCGGTCAATTCTGACACCTCACTCGCGTGTATTTTCTGTGCATTTCCTTGGTTGCGCTCGATCTCCGCCCCTTTGCGGCGTGATCCTTTACACGCTTCCTTATCAGTAATATCGGGTTGCGTTACACTAACAGGCGCGCTCATTATGGTCTGCTGATCCCAACTCCTTACGAAAGGTTCCACCTGAGTATTCCGCTCCTCATCATCCTCACTCGAGTCGATCTCCTCTTCTCGGTTGAGTCGTGCCAACTCCGATTGAGACTTGGCTAAGGCAGCAGCTGCCTGTGCTCGTTCGAGCTCTGAGCGTTCGAATTTAATCCGCGCCTCTAATTCGGCTTTCAGCCTCGCCGATCGCGATGACCTACTACCTCTCTGTGACCCTTTGTCACTAGTGTGCCCGATTACTGTCCTTGACGATGCCGCTTCTTCGGTCCTTTGACCTACTTTTTCGACCACCGTTTCACTCCTGGGTATAACGGATTGTTGTGCGGTGCTGGCCTGCGTACCACTGGTGTCCGTCCTGTTGCTTGTCGTTGCCATGGACGTTCCTGAGTCCCATGTGCATGTGGACGTGTCGGTGGTGGCTCCACTTGAAGGAGTTGCCCCATTTGACGCAGTAGCTGTGGTCGCTCCAGATGGTTACGCCTCTTTAGCTTTTCTTCAGGGCCCTGTTCTTGTCCTGCTCCCTTCGCTCCTCTGTCTGGTCTTGTGCCTTCTTCTCTGCAGGAAGGTGATTGTTGGCCTACGGTCCCTACAACCCCTTACCTACAACCCTTCTACACCCCAACCTAACACCACTACCCCTTCCCCCCCTTATCTCCCAACCCTACAACCCTACTACCACCCTAACAGCCCTATCAGCCCTATCAATCCTGAACGGGGCCTACCGAGGTGAGCCGTCCAGGGATGGAGTCGTGCAGGAATGGAATGGAGGAAAGGTTTAGGAACTGTCCCGCCAAGGAATATGACGAAACAGTCGAGCGGTAGTGCAAGCGCAGTCTCGCTCGAGAGAACTGCTCCACCCGAAGGTGTTGTGCCAGAGCCCGACCGTTTGGCACCGTTAGGTGGTCGGGATGTATGCTGTGCTCGCCGCCCAGTTGCCGGTGACGCCTCGTCCAAGCGCCCTCCTCCGGCCGCGATGCAGTCAGGTGCCCACGCGCACCCTCGCCTGGCAGCAGCAGCGGTGGATGCTTCTTCTTGCACCCTCTGATGACCCGACAGGAAATGCCGGACACGGTCGTCCGACAGGAAATGCCGAGCACGCTTGCCCGACAGGAAAAATGCCAAGCCCTGCTTGGCCACGATGAGCGCCTTCACAAGGCACTTGCGCCTGGCTGCGATACGTGCCCCATGCGAGCACACGCCCCAAGCCGTAATCCCGGTTTTCTTTCTTCCGGTAGTTCCAGGTCCAGTCCTTCTGCGCTGACGACCTGGTCTTCTGGCCTTTGCTCCTATTGCTTCAGCTCAAACCTCCGGCTTCCTTCGGTTGCTGATCTTCACTCGGCTCCGAAGGTCTTCTTTCTCCACAACCAGCAGTCCACAGCTGGTTCCTTGATCCAGCTGGCGGGGTTCGGATGGTCCTGATCCGGCTCCGAAGGTCCAATTGAAAAGGAACCAGCGAGGGGATTAAGAAACAGAAGGGAGGAATCGAGGCTTCTCTCGATCCGGCCTCCTATAACGCCTACGTTGGGTTCGGGAACAACGTATGTGATCTCCGCAACGGAGTAACACACAAGGGCGATAACCTCTTCCTTTTCAGCAAGTAGGTTCAGACGGGGATTACGGGTCTTCCGAAGTCGTCCCGGTCCCAACGCCTTAATTCTTCGATGTGGACTGTATAATTTTAAGGGATGAATTTCTTGGGAATAAAACAGCAATTATCTTCAAACCGTTCCGTGAGAGAGTAATTACTTTTTCCCTATCACTTCCCTACACTTTTTCTTTCTTCTTCTTATTGACTGCTGGTCTTGCACTTTTCCCGAACGATTTTCGTACTTCCCCGAAGGATTCCCGAACTATCTTCCCGAACTATCTCGAAGGATTCCCGAACGAATTGCAATAAAACCCGTTCACTAAGCTACCCCAGAGCTATACGCGAAAGTGAGCCGCGCCATTCGCGCGCTTGCGCAACTCAATTACATGAATTTGTTCTATTACTCTCTCACGTTTTACTTAATTACTTTATTTGCATAAGTCATACATCAATACAATTTATCTGTATAGATAGCACAAAACAATATCTATACTACGATATACATTACATTTTCATATCACGAAAAACCTTTTATTTATTAAATGAAATATGCCTATTTTACTCACAAGTTCGAAGTCGAAATTTCTAAATATTTAACACAGAAAGTTAAAACAATGTTTTCCACTTGAAATTATACATAAGTTAACTAATACTAACTACTAACTTATATTTTCTGTATTTATTTCACTATTAAAACACTTTTAAATTTCTTATACAAAACTATCATTATTTCACTTATACACAGGAATTTTCACATAAAAATAACACAGAATTCACCTTTTTAGCACGTACAATCAACCTGAAATGTTTTATAAGTCATTTTTACATAAATTGCTGAAATTGCAAACATTTTAAATTTTTACATATTCGGCCTCCTAAGGGCGTGGCCAGCGTGCGTCTATGAACTCACACTATTTGAAGAACTAACTTTTGCACGGCTCTCGGCTATCAGAAAAAATGGAAGTCTGATATACATTAATTTTAACAATATTGGGTGAATAAATGCATCTACACAATTTTCAAACTGTAGGAAACTATTTCTAATCAGATTCTTATCAGTTATCATGTTTCTTATCAGATAACAATATAAGTGAATGTTCTCATAAATCAATCATGGCAAATAGGCATTTGTTTTCGTACAAAACATATCAAACTCATATAAAACAATACTTATTCAATTAATTTCCGTTAATTCTATTTATGCACAGAGTGATCATCTCGACCGGGGAACAAATCCGATCTTTAACTTTATTTAATTATTCTTTTAAATTTACATCATTGGAAAGATGATTTCAACCGGGGAACCAATCCGGTAACATAATTTATATCTTAAAATTCCCTATATGAATTTATTGAAAGATATTACTTAGGAAAACAATAAACTAGTCCGGCCTGGGAGTCGAACCCAAGACCTTCATATCATTAATTCGACATTTCTTCAAGATTTAACTAAGCATTTTGTTATTAGAACATTGCTATTGGACAATATGCCTTTGAGACGTTATTCGTCATCGGTTGACTTAATAAACTTAAATATTCTTATAGGCGCGTCGCCAACATTGGTGTTTTAAGTTTTAATTGCTGTAAAGAAAATTAAAGTGTTAATTTAGGTAATTCTATCGGCAATTTTTAATGTCACGAACCTCAAGCTCGTAACAGTATTGTTTATTGAGCAACGCCACTTTTGTTGAAAACAAATTTGCCATAATTTTCACGATATATCGAAATTATAATATAAAACGTCTTTTTTGCACATTGGACTGTCTAAAATATGAGTTTCTGTGGTTTCACTTTATTTTTTTTCAGTTAATTCTGTGAATTTTATTTCAGACGTGGACGACGGTATTTGAAATGCTAATTTTATAAATTGAATAAAAATTGTTAAAATACGAAATATAAGCAAAAAATAAAAAAAATTGTGTAATTACTTACCCTTTGTATAAAAAAACTCTCAACACACTTTCATAAATGGTAAAACCTTAAAATTTTAAAAATCGTGCAGTAGGGCAAGTGACACACGGCATAGGATATACTACTATACTCGTAATAATAAGGCGTAGGGAAGTAACGACCCCGTCGCCCGCTGACGTTAACGGTTATGTGACAAAACCGCTACGTCAGCGCAGTCAGTCAGCACCTTGCCAAGAGATGTTAGTGCCGTACCTCGGCAAAAAATGAAGGTGCAAAGGCCCGCTTGTGCACGTGGCCCCACCATGAAACGGCTCCGGGTCTAGGCGTCTCCCGTTAAATGACGCCCACCAATATGGATGATGGAATACGGAAGAACGCGCAAAAGGCCGCTGCCTGGAGGTCACCAGGGCGCATTTGGAGCTGGCGCTGGGCGCGACAGCATTCGAACCGCCAGCCGAACGAGAGTTGCTGCACGACCACCCATCAGCCCCTCGGAACCATCATCCCCACCAGCTGGCTTGGTATCGGCAGGGTCTTCGCGGGCCCAGCAATCGGCACCCGCCACTGGTGGAGTACGCCGCTTGCGATGGACAATCGAATGGAACGCCCGCAACGCGTATTTTAGGGCGACAGGGGAAGAAGTTGGAGGTTTGGCGTATCGGGCTAGGATGAATCGTGTTTATGCTGAGCTGGAGCCATCTTTAACTGTCACAGAGCAAAACCTGGCAGACCGAATTTGGTATATCTTGCGCTCAAATATATTTGTGTGTCACCGAACTCGAACGGCTACGACGTGAGGCTGTTTCCTCATCGGATTAAAATGCTACGGCTGAGGATGTGGCGCCACAAATTGCAGAGCAACCCGCAAACGTGGATGCCGCCGTGAATACCCCAGTTGTGGTTGATTCAAACGATGATGGAACAGTCGCCCAGGAACTGGAATTAGAGCATATGAGGAGTACATTAGAAGAGGCGATTGTGGAAACTCGCAGTACGCCTCTTGAAAATCGACCGCGACTTCCCCGCATAGCCCTAAGCAAGCGGAATCGGGTTGTCGTGAGGGCTCTGAACCCAATGCTGGTTACCTATTTGAAAGCCAGCCGGGACCTTTGCGAGACGGACCCAATTCTTTTTGGCGCCGCACTGGCAGTCTGCCGTATTATAGGCGCCAAACTTTCCACTACTGGACAAAATAGTGCTATCCCAGCCTGGAGAATAAGAGTTGAAGAAATTATCGCAAAGGCTAGGGCCCTCATCGGCAGACTGATATGCTTCAGGTCAGGCAATAACAGGCCAAGGATTGTGCGCATCGTAAGGATGGCATTTGCTGAGACAAATGTTGGTTTGTCCCAGCCGGATATAATGCAAAAACTGACGGAGCGCATAGACGACCTGAAGCAGAGAATCGCTGCTTGAGGTAAGCGGATAGAAGAGGGCGGTTGTTCTTCCAGAGTGATCAGAAGAGGGTCTATAAATCATTGGGGCGACCAATGATAAGTGGAACGGGCCCAGCACCGAATCAGCCCGACACTGTCGCATTCTGGCACAGCCTGTGGTCAGAGCCCGTAAACCACAGTGAGGGCTCTTGTACGGAAGTTGTGGCATGTCAGTGTGCGAGTATTACGCCCATGGACCTCGTCATCATAACGCCGGATGACGTAGCTGAGGCGGTCCGTAGAGCTCCGAACTGGAAAAGTCCGGGACTCGACGGGCTGCATCACTACTGACTGAGGGGGTTTGTGGTGTGTAACGCTGTGTGAGGCTCTCAACCAGAAGTCGCTCCCTAGCCTCTTCACTACTGGAATCACTCATTTGGTTCCTAAAGATAAGGTTACCACAGACCAGAGCAAATACCGCCCCATAACGTGTCTACCGACCATATACAAGACACTAACATCCATTTTGTGCGCGAAAATCAATCGTCACCTGGACTCTAATCAGGTGATGTCGCGTGCTCAAAATGAATGTTGGGGCGGTGCTCGTGGAACCGAGGAACCACTCCTTATTGACGCAGTCATTGGCAAACTGGTGACACGCAACCGTCGGAACTTCTCCGCCGCATGGATAGACTACAGAAAACATTCGACTCGCTTCCCTATACATGGCTAAAGAGGGTCCTCGAGCTGTACAAGATTGACTGTACAGTTAGAGACTTCCTCGAGCAATGTATGGGGCAGTGGAGTACGATCCTTTGTCATCTGGGTGAGTGGATGACGGCTGTGGAAAGCCGCATAAGGATAAGAAGGGGTATCTTTCAGGGCGATTGTCTGAGTCCCATCTAGTTTTGCCTCTCTTTGAACCCTCTTAGTACATTACTGGAAGGCTCCGGGAGGGGATTTCAGCTTCGGAGAATAATTTGTGTTATTATTTGACGAGATAATCCGATGAGATTACCTGAAACGTTGATTGGCAACAAAGAACTGATGCTTCTGGTTCTATTGGTTTGTTTTATTTTTGTATAAACTCTCTAATCCACTAAACTGATTATAGTTTGAAATTCTCATCGCTAAATTCCGAGAAATTAAGATGTTTCTTTATTATTATAAGTATCTCTAGTACTTGTTAGTCACCGTATGAATAGCAACAGTGGTTTGCTGTTATTTTACAATGATTTTACACGCGAGCCTAGTTGATCCTTCACCGGTTTAAAGTGGATTTTGATACGTAAAAGTGGTGCGATTTCGTGTATTAAGTCTCTGCGCATGGTGTACTATTAGACTCACGCAAGAGGGGTTTCGTATCATACTTTTTTTGCCGTTGTTGACCAATTTTGATCTTTTTTTTTCGTTTTTTTATTTTACGTCTCGTTAGTGTATTCTGATCATAAGTGACACAGTTTACACGTTCAAAAGCCGTAGCGAGACTAATCAGACGGCAGGGAACGAGCTTCATGACGCCGATAGCTTAGGTAATTCCTTTTTACAGTGATAACAATGGTATTTAAAATAAAATAAAAAACGTAAGTCCTGCTTTATAGTTAGTTCAGGTAGTATGCAACGTTTTTAGTAAGGGCGTTCACTTTAATTTTTTTTATTTATTTTTATTATTTGTTATAGTGCCTACAGAAATACATATTCTGTAAAAAATCCACCTGTCTACCTATAACAAATCATGGATACAACCTGGTGACAGACAGACGGACGGACAGCGGAGGCTTAGTACCCTTCGGTACGGAACCCTAAACGAGTAGAATAGAATATTTTTATTCATTATTGATTATTACATAACACTACTGGAAAGTCGTACTTTAATTACCGTTACCACTACTGAACAGCCTATTAAAGTTTTCTATTCAACATGGGCCTCCCCCATAGATTGTCTTATAAGGACACTGAACATAGTAACCACGTGTAGCAAGCGGGATAGCAACCCCGGTTTTTTTATTGACGTGACAACGTCTTATAAATTGGTTTGCCGGGTGACACTTCAAGAAACTGCGTTACGCTCCGCTCACGTTATGCGCTCACAATGAGAGCGAGTGAGAGGCACGCGTCCCTTCCACTCGGGCATGGTTAGCCCGCCTAAGAGCGAGAGAGACAGACATAAAAAGTGAAAGGCACGCGTCCCTTCCACTCGAGCACAGTTAGCCCGCCTAAGAGCGAGAGAGACAGAGCGAGAGAGAGAGAGTGAGAGAGTCGTTGTCACGTAAAACTTTCGCCCGTATACCGACTTTACAGGCAACCAATATTTTTTTTTTAGTCGTCATTAGGAAGACGCTGCTGCCCATCTGATTTGTTTCCCTACGTCGCCTCTTATAGGCTTATAGGCTGTTAGAATATCTACTACCATATCATCCCTTGGATGTCGCCAAGGGATGATATGGTAGTGGATATTCTTACACCGACACTATAGAGCCATGCTGCAGCTATATGGTGGTTGCAGCACGAATGGGTCGGCTCGACCGGGGAAGCACCACGCTCTCACAGAATACGAGCGTAAAATAGAACCTTAATGATGCTGTGTTTCGTATGGCGAGGAGACAATTTTTACTGGAAACGAGGCATGGGAAATAACCGTGATAAAAATAAGAAGCGACTGGGTTGGCGTTAAGAAACAGGCATAAATATGATAAACCTAATGAAATAAGTATCTAACGACCTATCTACTTACAGTATTAGTGATTACAAACATGTTGGTACATAACATACGACGCGCGGGGAAGTGGGGGCGAAATTAGAATTTGAGCTGACTTACTATATCCTCTTAAAGAAAAATAGATGTCCACTCAGGTGGACTGAGTGCTCGTTTGTCACCCCTATACATAAAAAAACACGGTTTTATTTACCACTCTCGTTTGGGAAATACCTCTGCCTTGGGAAGAATCAGCAAGAAACCCAGCGAGATTATCTTTCTTATATAAATTTTAATAGAACCAGCATGATGGCGAACATCTCAATCCCGGGGTTTTTTTTACATACATGTATTCCTTGATATTACATACGAAAAACCTTTTTGTACAATTTTTCTTTAATAAAACTTTACAAAATTTTTAGTTTGACAATAAATTGTTTATTGTCAAACTAAAAATTTTGTATTGGATTTGGTCAAGCCTTTCTTTTCTTTTCTTTCTTTCTTTTTTTTTTTTAAAAAGCCTGTTTTGATCATAGATTGGATATGGTCAAGCCTGTTTTGATCATAGATTGGATGTGGTCAAGCCTGTTTTGATCATAGATTGGATATGGTCAAGCCTGTTTTGATCATAGATTGGATATGGTCAAGTCTGTTTTGATCATAGATTGGATTTGGTCAAGCCTGTTTTGATCATAGATTGGATATGGTCAAGCCTGTTTTGATCATAGATTGGATATGGTCAAGCCTGTTTTAATCATAGATTGGATATGGTCAAGCCTGTTTTGATCATAGATTGGATATGGTCAACCTGTTTTGATCATAGATTGGATATGGTCAAGCCTGTTTTGATTATAGATTGGATATGGTCAAGCCTGTTTTGATCATAGATTGGATATGTTCAAGCCTGTTTTGATCATAGATTGGATATGGTCAAGCCTGTTTTGATTATAGATTGGATATGGTCAAGCCTGTTTTGATCATAGATTGGATATGGTCAATCCTGTTTTGATCATAGATTGGTAACTAAGATAGATAATATTTTTGCAGATTAAGGGGCTATACTTCCTCAAATGTCTTAGCAAGATCCTCTGTTATGCCGAAAGTACTGCAGCATTGTTTTTGAAATAAATATATGGTGAAGTTGAGGATTAATGTTAAGTACTTTTAGTTAGACGAAAACGCGATTACATAAAATTTTCTCTATAGAAAAAAAATCCAAAGTTACCTCCAAACCGAAATATAAACCGCTGCTATTAAAAAAATACTTCAAATTAGATCATGAAACTTTGCATTATAACTGAATTAATTATAAAGCAAGGCCTATGTTTTTTACTTTTTTTAAATTACCATTATTTTCACCGTAAAAAGGAAATTACCTAAACTATCGTCGTTTTAAAGCTTGTTCCCTGTCGCCCGACACCGCCGTTCTCTCTGGCTTCGGCTTTTGTACATGAGGGGCTGTGTTGCTTACGCTCAGAACACACGTTACGCAACAAGACGCCGTAAAATTAAAATGGGAAATAACCGTGATAAAAATAAGAAGCGACTGGGTTGGCGTTAAGAAACAGGCATAAATATGATAAACCTAATGAAATAAGTATCTAACGACCTATCTACTTACAGTATTAGTGATTACAAACATGTTGGTACATAGCATACGACGCGCGGGGGAAGTGGGGGCGAAATTAGAATTTGAGCTGACTTACTATATCCTCTTAAAGAAAAATAGATGTCCACTCAGGTGGACTGAGTGCTCGTTTGTCACCCCTATACATAAAAAAACACGGTTTTATTTACCATTCTCGTTTGGGAAATACCTCTGCCTTGGGAAGAATCAGCAAGAAACCCAGCGAGATTATCTTTCTTATATAAATTTTAATAGAACCAGCATGATGGCGAACATCTCAATCCCGGGGTTTTTTTTTACATACATGTATTCCTTGATATTACATACGATAAACCTTTTTGTACAATTTTTCTTTAATAAAACTTTTAAAATTGTTTATTTTCAAACTAAAAATTTTGTATTGGATTTGGTCAAGCCTTTCTTTTCTTTTTTTCTTTTTTTTTTAAGCCTGTTTTGATCATAGATTGGATATGGTCAAGCCTGTTTTGATCATAGATTGGATATGGTCAAGTCTGTTTTGATCATAGATTGGATATGGTCAAGCCTGTTTTGATCATAGATTGGATATGGTCAAGTCTGTTTTGATCATAGATTGGATATGGTCAAGCCTGTTTTAATCATAGATTGGATATAGTCAAGCCTGTTTTGATCATAGATTGGATATGGTCAAGCCTGTTTTGATCATAGATTGGATATGGTCAAGCTCTTTTGATCATAGATTGGATATGGTCAAGCCTGTTTTGATCATAGATTGGATATGGTCAAGTCTGTTTTGATCATAGATTGGATATGGTCAAGCCTGTTTTAATCATAGATTGGATATGGTCAAGCCTGTTTTGATCATAGATTGGATATGGTCAAGCCTGTTTTAATCATAGATTGGATATGGTCAAGCCTGTTTTGATCATAGATTGGATATGGTCAAGTCTGTTTTGATCATAGATTGGATATGGTCAAGCCTGTTTTGATCATAGATTGGATATGGTCAAGCCTGTTTTGATCATAGATTGGATATGGTCAAGTCTGTTTTGATCATAGATTGGATATGGTCAATCCTGTTTTGATCATAGATTGGTAACTAAGATACATAATATTTTTGCAGATTAAGGGCCTATACTTCCTCAAATGTCTTAGCAAGATCCTCTGTTATGCCGAAAATACTGCAGCATTGTTTTTGAAATGATGTATGGTGAAGTTGAGGATTAATGTTAAGTACTTTTAGTTAGACGAAAACGCGATTACATAAAATTTTCTCTATAGAAAAAAAATCAAGTTACCTCCAAACCGAAATATAAACCGCTGGTATTAAAAAAAATACTTCAAATTAAATCATGAAACTTTGCATTATAACTGAATTAATTATAAAGCAGGGCTTATGTTTTTTACTTTTTTTAATTATCATTATTTTCACCGTAAAAAGAAATTACCTAAACTATCGTCGTTTTAAAGTTTGTTCCCTGCCGCCCGACACCGCCGTTCACTCTGGCTTCGGCTTTTGTACATGAGGGCTGTGTTGCTTACGCTCAGAACACACATTACGCAACAGGACGACGTAAAATTCAAATATTAAAATAGATACTTAGGTTTATAGTGTTGGCGCAATGTGAAATAAGCGTAATGAAAATAAGAAGCGATTGGGTTGGCATATAGAAACGGGCAAACGTATGACAAACGTAATGAAGTACTACCGACTCTACCGACCTATCTATTTATAGTATTAGTGATTACAAATATTTTGTAGAAATTTAGCATATGACAGGTTTGTTGCAGTGGCTTAGTGATTGGATGCTGCGCTGCTAGTCCAGGTATTTCTGTATGTGAAGATTTGTGTTTGTAAACACACCATTCACGATTCAGGAGAAATCGAGCGTGGCGCAACTTTATGAAAAAAAGATAAAAGTTACCTAAATAGGTTTGTGTTTGTCAATATTCAACAAAACGACTATTACAAAGTCTATGTAGTAATTGTTTTTTTATAACGTTGCCCCACTCTAGAATTTCTCCTGAATCGGAGACGGTGCGATTACAAACACACATTTTCACAACTATCTGTAGGCCATAAAAATATTTGTTCCATATGGGAATCGAACCCCCGACCCGTAGTGCAGAAGCCAAGCACTTTCAAAATTCAAAATTCAAAATTCAAAAATGTTTATTCTGTAACAAAAAATTAAGAATCATAGCAGTATATTAGAGTTCTCCTTTTAAATATTTTTAAATACTTGTGACAGGAAAAAACTCGCTCTTCCTTAATTAACATTCAATACTTTAGTTACAAGAATAGCATAATATTCCTTTCCTAAAATAATTTATTATGAAAAAAATATGAAGATGTGTGCGCGTGCGTGTGCTTGTGCATGTGTGTGTGTGTGTGTGTGTGTGTGTGTGTGTGTGTGTGTGTGTGTGTGTGGCGTGCGTGCGTGCGCGCGCGCGTGTGTGTGTGTTTGTGTGTGTGTGTGTGTGTGTGTGTGTGTGTGTGTGTGTGTGTGTGTTTTGTAAGTCGTGTTATTTTAACAAATTTTCTATTTCGTGATAGTCTTTCCGTTTGAGCCATTCAATGAGAATTACCTTACATTCTTTACTGGTTTTAGAATAAATATTCAATTCTTTATTTAAGTAGTTATATAAATTAGAGGACTTTTTTGCCTGTTGTCGTCTAGCAAATGCTGTTTTAACCGGATCACTTGGAGCTACGTTAGTTTTCCTCCTTTTACTTTCAATTTCAGGGTTATATGCAAGGGACTTGTGTACCTTAAGAACTATATTTAGTATGTATAACTTACGAACTGTAAGAAGATCACATAGTGTGTATAAATCTTGTGTTGGGAATTTGTAAGGTTTAAAATTCATAACCTTCAGTAATGATCTCTGGGCTCTTTCTAAATCTAAAAACTTTGTTTTTGTAGCACCTCCCCATATACTAATACAATATACCAGAACTGATTGAACTAAAGAAATATATACTTGTTTTAATATAAGTGGTGTTGCGAGATGTCTCAAAATTTTGAAAAACCATATGAATTTTCTAATCCTAGTCATTAACAGTTCAATATGTAGATGCCAAGATAATCGCTGATCCAATAGTATTCCAAGATATTTTGTACTTGATACTTTGTTTATGTGAGGGCATGGGCAGTTAGAGTTATTAAGGTCAACACAAGAATGAATTTTAATATTAAAATTAGGTTGAGTCCTATTGTAGTTAGTAAAACATATATAGTTAGTCTTAGATGTATTGATAGTCAATAAATGTAATCTCAACCATTCTGCAACCTTGGCTAACCCCACTTCAGCGCTATGCCGGACATCTTCCCAGCTTCAGCTGCAAGCACTTAGTAATAAAAAAATATAAGTGTGTTCGGTAAGTACCTACCTATCTATAATGAAATAAAACTGAAACTTACTTATCCGTCCTTACGTTATCGTTACTCCGTGCACACTGGTTTAGCAATGAGTTGCTGCGCTGGAGTACGTGGGTTCGAATCCCGCACGGAACAAGTATTTGTATGACCTACCAATAATTGTTCCGGATCTGGATGTTTTTCATTGTGCAATTTATATTTGTAAACTGCCTCCACGATACAGGAGAAAATCCTAGTGTAAAAAATAACTTATCCGACTATAGTATTACCTGCTACATAAGTACATAAAAATTATGGAGCTATTGAGTACTGAAGGACCTTGATAGTTTAGCTTTAGCTAAATTGTGAGTATGTGAGTATTTTCTACCTACCTAAACATGTAACAGATATGTTATTAGTACACGTGGCTAAGACTTGGCTATATAATTATCACACTACAACCTCCAGTATAAGCTGATCTCAAATTGTAAACGTATTACGTACAATGAGAGGTCATCTTATACTGGAAATCTCCTCTTATAGTGGAAGGATCTGCCCATTGTTGGTTTAGAAGTAGGCTTGAGTTTTATAGTTTTCGCCGTGTATGTATTAATGTGACAGCAGTTTACGTATGTAATTATGTTGGTAGTAGGTTTATGCAAGTACCTATTATACATATACTTTTGAAATTGAAATTGAAATTTTGCAAACCGTCACAGTCAGGCTTTTTGATTGCGTGTCCGGCCAAATTAGATGGTGTCCGGCCTGTCCGGCTTTTGTCAGGCTTTTTATATTTGACAATTTTTTTACATTTTTCATGTACTTAAAAACATACCATTGCAATTATTGAAATTAATATTGTAATAAATATTGAATTGTTAATAATAAAGAACACTGATACATTCAATTTTAATTTAAGATTTTATGGTAAATGATATAATGCTTATATCATTTACCATAAAATCTTAAATTAAAATTGAATGAATCGGTTTTACTTTAAAAATATATTATCGTGTTATACAAAGACGAATATTATTTTTTCCGGCGGCTTTTTTACTATCTTTTTGAATGAATCGGTTTTATTTAAAAATATATTATCGTGTTATACAAAGACTGAATAATTAAGGGTTCCCCTTTTGTCCTTGGATGTTTATCTTTTCGAATGAATCGTTTCTTTGTGTTCAAAGACTGAATAATTAAGGGTGTCCGGCCCTTTTACCAAAATGTCCGGTTAAGCTGGATGGTCTGTCCGACTTTTCAGTTTAAAGACCTGGCAAGCCTAGCTTGGTAGTAGTAAGTTTACGCTTTGCATTTTACAATCTTATGAACTTACAATATAGTTTTCGCCTTGTATTACATACTACTTTTTTAGTATATATATTGCAATCTTATAAACTTAAAATATAGTTTTTTTAGTTCTAAGAATATGCCGTTAGTATGTACAATGAAATTGAATTTGCGACATATAATTTTATGTTCATATAATGACAAGTTTATATTAAATTATGACTGAAAACTTTATTACTTAGTGCTCGTCCGATAATAGTTTATTTTAATCCAACAACATCGCTCTGACCTCGTGTTCCCGCGTGAGTTCGAGCTGTAGTGTGCGAACAAGTGGCGCGTGGAAATGGGGGCGAAAATAGAATTTGAGCTGAGGTAGTATAGGCCGTTAATTGTATAATTTCTTAAAAATTTTAAATTTTCAAGGAAGGCATCAACAACTTTTTCTTCCACCAGGGCGGCGCCACTTTGTAATGGTGTAAAATATTTAACAGATCTCATAGTGGGGAAGTTAAATTGTTAGAAAAGTGTAATAAACTAATGTATTTTTTCTGAAATGTATCATTTTGTATTATTAACTGAACTAAAGATTTTCCTTAAAGAAGTATTAGTTAAAAAAATATTAAAAATGTGTAAAAATTAAAGAACACACCACTGAGGCATTGTTTTGTGCTACATTATACACTAAAAACTGAAAAGCTTTTATTTAAAACTCAAATTTTCAATGATGATTACACTGTGACCATTTGCGTGACAAATATTTTAACCTCAGTCCCAACTAGCACCATCTAGTGAGCGTACGAATATTAACCCTCATTAGCATATCAAATCTCATTAGTAATTAATTGTAAAATTAAACAACATAAGAATGTATTAAAGATCATTTATTCCGGATAACTGAGTATTTTGTTCTTGATGCTTGTTTTTGTGTGTCCGCCTTCATCTTAACTTTTTTGAAGGTCACCTTATGTTCTGTTTGTTTTCTTCAAAGATGGTGTTTTTGTGCATTTGAAGAATATAGTAAGTGCATTTAAATGGTGTAGGTCATTGGATCGTAGCCAGCGCCGGCCACTTTGTCGTCGATCCAGTTGCGAAGGTTTGAGACGTCCACGTACACTCCGGGTGTGCCGTCTTCACCGCAACCGATTCCCCAGGCCACGATGCCGCTCTGCATGTAGCGATCTTTTTCGTACTGCAAGGGAAGTCAATATTAGGTGATGAATAAAAAAAATATTTTTAAGGAAGTAAGGATGTTGCTGCCGATGAACACCTACGTCTATTCTTGATAAAGAATCAATATCCAAATGCGTTGTCGCAGTGGTAGGTTAGAAAGAATAGTTAAAATGGTGTCCGGTTTTCTACACTCGCCATACGAAACACAGCAGCATTGAGCTTGAGATATTTTACGCCGGTATTCTATGTATTCTAGATGGAGTGACGACCTGATAAGACATGCAGGAAGTCGATGGATTGTCGGTGATGACTTATGGATCTTTGGTCCTTAACCCTATAAAGCTAACGTTCGTCAAAACGACGAGCATGCAATAAATATTTCTATTTCTTTCTTTCGTTGTTTTACTAACATATTTGTGCTTTCGCGCCAACTCGGTACGCACTGGACTGCGTCGCGTGGTGATCGTCTCCAGCCGGTAAGTATTTTTATTTTAGAGATACGTAATAACTGTTCGTAATTTTGACGAATGGTTAGCTTTCGTGTAACTTTTACTCCTACTGTGATGTGGAATTTTGATGTGCATTTTATCAGTTTTTTGTGTTATTTTTGTTTTAGTTATTGTTTTAATCACGGAAAATGGCTGGAAGATCAATTCTTTCGGATGAAGAAATAGCTCGGGCCTTAGATAATGCAGACGAAGCCTTCACAAATGTCGTTCAAACCAAAGACAAGCAAAATGGTTTATTTGCTTTTATCTTGTGACGAAGAAGGAGCTGTGAACTCAACCACAAAACTCTCCAACGTAATCGAGTTCTACAATAACAAAAAAGGAGGGGGGGGGGGAACACATTTGACCAGATGTGTTCAATAATGTCTTGCAATTGAAAGACTAATCGGTGGTATATGTGCATATTCTATGGCATGTTGAATATATCGGGTATTAACTCTTACATCATTTATTGCCATAATGTCCTGGTAGCTGGTGGTAAGCCACTGTCACGAAGAAGATTCATGAAACAGTTGCATGAGAAACTTGTCGAACCACGGTTAAAGTGCCGTCTGCAAACCACAACTATGCCTCGAAGAATTAAGGACAAAATAAAAGATGTGTTGATGGGTTTGAACCAGGAGGACCAGACTATTGAGGGACACCAGGGTTGTGAGCCATGGGGTTCTGGAAGTTCAGCAGCATCTGAAAGACCTTCAAACAATAAAAGAAAAAGTTGCGGTTTGTGCTCTTACAAAAAAAGACGAATGACAAAGTACCAATGCCATACTTGCAACATTCCTATTTGCGGCGAGCACTCGGTTGATTTTTGTCCTAATTGTGAAAAAAATGTAAATGTTACTCTTTATTTTTTATGATTTTGAGAAAAAAAATATTTTTTTCTAATGAAAAATTCTTTATTAGTCATTTAAGTCTAAAGTACCTTATTGATCTCAATAAATACGTGTCTTGTAAAACTTATAATTGTAGACTAGAAAATAAAAATATATTGATTTTCATTAAAGATGTTTTTAATTCATAGCCTTAATTTTCTATAAATATAATATACATATGGAAAACATATCTAATTTAGTTAAAAATAGGCTTTTGAAAATGATTGTCAAAAATACGAATAGTTAGCTTATCAGGGTAGTCCAGGAACGTTAGCTTTATAAGGTTAATAGCGGTCCATACGAGGAAGCTCAAAGTCGCTCCGCGAGCTATGGAGAAGGCTATGCTCGGAGTTTCTCTGCTTTGATAATCTTCGAAATGAGAATGTCCGCAGTAGAACCAGAGTGACTAACAACCGGATTAGTAAGCTGGTGGCGATGGGCCGCCCATATAGCTCGAAGAACCGACAACCGATGGGAAAGAAAGTTTCTTGAATGACAGCCTCGTACCGGTGGGTGAAATATAGAGCGCACTCCCTCCACTAGATGAAATGACGACTTGGTAAGACATGCAGGAAGGAAGTAGATAGATACAGGTGGCTTCGAACCGTGCTTTATGGCATTCCTTGGGGTGGACGTATGTTCAGAAGTGGACCTGTGTAGGGCTGTAATGATGATGATGATTTCTTGTCGGGTTTTTTGTCAATAAAAGACAGTGCGGTAGGGAACGTATGTGGCGAGGATTTATAAATAGTTCCCGGCTTAATGAGTAGACATGTGGGTAAAGCCATGGTAACTCAGTCGAGCGAGAAACCCGGGTACGAACCCCGCCGGCTTCAATGAGGTTGTTAATTACAATTTTAATTGCCGAATATACCACGTGCGCGACGGTAAAGGAAAACATCGTTAAGACACCAACATATAAGAGAAATAAAATAAAAATATTTCTAAAATTCTGCAACATGCATTAAAGTAGCGCGGTAGATACTTATTTGACCCATAAACCCTATAAGAAAAAAGGAGAAGGCTAGTAGTGTGACGTGTATAGGCTGTAACTATGAAACCGAGATGTCTTCAAGGTAAGAATGAATAAATAGGCTTTTGTTACGCTAGGACAGTGTGATTTACCATTTAGGACATTACCAACTCATACCTCGTGGTGGGATTGAAGAAAAACTCTGGATAATTGGTAAAAAATTATATGTGAATACGTTTTTACACACGATAAAAGAGAAATCTTCAGTAAACTAAACTTCGAAATAATGAGACAAATGCAGAGTATTAGGATATTTATTTTATCAAGATTGCTAAGTTAATATTATACAAATAATAATTTAAGGGAATATTTTCTTTTGAGTAAAACTGCTTTGTTATATCCCCCATCTACATAATTCTGTAGGTAAAGTCATTTTATCTGACAAAAATTCATCGACTCTCAAAGTGGTACGTAAAACAGTAAGTAATTTAATATATATTAGTAATTAATTAAATGGTGGATTGTGGTTAATTTTATTTAATAAATTAATATTTTTTAATAGTTAAAAGTTATAATAACCATCTTTAAAGCGCCGCACAAATTGGAGACAAATTCCATATCATACTTTCGCTGGCTAAATCCTAAAGATGTGTATATGTTTGTCACTTTTAGGTGTCGCTTTTTCGTCACTAAGTTTAAAATTTCTACGATTCTACAAAGAAAAAACTATTTATTAGACACACACATTTCAAGAAACGGTCTGTTCGCTTAGATACGGCCGCGTTTGTGTCGCGCCGCCTTGGTACGTACTGCATCTTGTCAATAGCGCCGCCGTGACATCAAAGGAGGCGCACACCGGCAGAAGAATTTGGCATTTTAAAACTAAGAGCCGTGCTTTTGTTTATTATTTATGTTCGTATTTTATTACAGTCACTATAAGAATAAAAATGTACTCTGTTTTATTCTTAGAATTAGGCATGTCGATTCACTCAAAAAAAAAATCGATCTCTGAATCGATTTGAATCGAAGATACTAGAATCGATTATCGATTAAATCGAGGATTAAAAGATCGATTTTCGATTAATCGCGATATTTTCAAACGTGAAATTTCAAGAATTTGCGATTTTTTCATTAATTGAACTTTAATAACTTTTTTAAATAAAATATTAGTAATCTTAATAATTAACATTACTAATATTCCTTTTAACAACTCCTGGTAAGCTAGAAACGCTTGTGTTAGGAGTGGTTTGCACATACGCCACTCAATCCCTTTTTTTACGAAGTGATTCCATGTATCACTTTTATTTGATATTTTAGGCTAAAAACAACAACAATACTTTAACAAAAGTGAAAACTGCAACCTACATTTCTCGATAAAGCTGTTTCAATCTAATAACTCACTATTTATCAAATTGAAATGAATGCTACACGAACACAATACTGGTTATTTCCTTACTGTCTGTACTTACAGCTCGCAGTATGTATGTTTTTGATAATAAATAAAGTAAATTCACTAGTTCACAGCTAAAATTTTATACTGTAGTATGTATATGTAACCTTTGTTCGCAGCACAGATTAAGTTAGACCAACATTCCACAGGCAAGATTAGAATTAGAATTTAAGAAATGAAAATGAACTTACAACTTTTCGACAACTTTTTTGTTGGATGCGTTCATAAATATTTATTTTATTCAAATAAATATTGCGTTCAAATTATCAACTAATTACGACCGGTTGTTTTTGCGTCCCCCCAACAGCAAAAAATTAAAAAACTGCGTTGTCTTACCCCAGCCAGTTTGGGAATTTTATCGCCAGTTCTTGAATCGGATGAATCAGTCCGATTCGAAAGGTTTTTGGATCGATTCAGTGAATCGATGCGGTGCTCTGCATCGATCTAAAAAATCGATTATTTTACTCCAAAGAATCGATTTTTCGATTAATCGATTTTAGATCGACATGCCTACTTAGAATAGTAAAACATGTGTGGTGTATCGACGCTATTTTAGCGAACAGACTAGTTATATAAAGGGACAAAATATGAATTCATCAGTCTAAGACTACTTAATTAATAACAATTATATTTAAAAAACGGAAGAAATAAAAATCAAAATCAAAACTAAAATGTATATTAAATATGTATCCAAATCAATATAATGCTGCAAAAGCAGCACTGGTTTTTAGTTGGAGCCTTTTGCTTTCATCGGCAAGTCATTGTGTGATCCTCCAATTACGCGTTGATACAAGTTACATAGAAATTAATAATTACGATGGGTAGTGCTACACATCTGTATAAATGTTGGACCGCCATGTTGGTGTAGTGGTTGTAGTAATGCGACTACTAGTCATGAGATTCCAGGTCGGAGCAAAAATATCAATTATTGAAGTTTTCCATCAAGAAATTTTCAATAGCTGCCCGGAGTAAGGAAGTTGGCGATGTCTCACTCCCTTGCTCCGGAAAGTACGTAAAGCTGTTGGTCCTGCGCCTGATCTCTCTCCAGTCGTGTCGGTTTACCGTCCCACTGGACTATGGGAGTGAGAAAATACAGTGAACCTGTGCTTGCGCATACACTCGTGCACTATAATCCTGTAATGCGCCGATGGCTGATATCCGTTGACGCTGGCCGCCATGACCAAAGTTAGGTCTGGAGGACATTGTTATTATAAATGTTATATTGGGATTCTAACAAAGCTTTCGCTTTAAAAATACAAACCTCAATAGGGCAGCTCAGTGGTGAACCGCCGTCCCCCTTGCAGGTGTCCTTACCAGCTTCCCCACCAGCGCACATGAACGACGTGTGCAGTTCGAAGAAGTGGCCAAGGCGTGTATTGCGTAGTTGTGTTTGACATGTCGACCGTTCTACAACCGGCACTTCCACCTACAAATAATTAAAGGATGACGAATAAGCTAAGAGTAACCTTGATGGTATGTGGATGCTGCGGCCCATAACAATCTACATCTATCCTCGATTAAGAATCAAATGCGGATGCGTTGTCACCCCTGAGGACTAAGATGGAATGTCTCGTTTTCAGTAAAAAGGGGCTCCGGTTCTCTACACTCACCAAACGAAACACAGCAAGATTAAGCCGCTATTGCTGTAAGAGCGAAGATTCTGTGGTCGGGTCGAGGAAACCTATTCTTGCCACAACCATACTATATCTACAGAATGGCTTTGCTACGTAGTTTATTTCCAATTATTGGCTTGTTTTTCGCTACAACACGACATGATATAACACTCATCTCCACTCATATTATCGTGTGAGTGTCATGAGAGACGACAAATAGAAATTGTTACAGGAGATGAGACGGCTGTACCTTCCTCAAACTAACAAAAGTGATAAAAATCTGCTGTTAACAAACCGCCTGCCAACATGGCAACGATGGCGGATATCTTCCCTATAGGGGTATCTATAGGAGATGGCCGTAAGAGAAATTTATCGATTCGTTAAGTTTTCGAGACAAAAAAAATTGAAGAAATAAAAATATTAACTTTAGCCTCTCTATACTAAATTTACAAAAATGTTTGTACATAAACAAATGATATGCATATATGCATACTGGGAATTTATTAGTCACTCAATTCAAGAGAATAGGTAATTTATTCATGGAGAAATGTAATTTTTGAACAATTGGTTTTAGAACAAAATCCCAAGGAAAAGCTTAGCTAAGTTAAAAAAATTTAGGGGAGACATATGTTTAGCAGTGGTTTTTTAATAGGATGTATTAAATAATGATGATGACGATTGCAATGGTCTTAGCCAAATGCTTATCCCATGAGTTATGGCTATATTTCGATATTCACTGACACCAATGATATTCTTATCCGCGATTTTAATATTACCACGTGCTTGGCGATGAAGGAAAACATCGCGAGTATCCCATCATCATTAAAGCCCTTCACAAGTCCACTGCTGAACATAGCCAACGAATGCCACAAAGCACGGTCTTAAGCTACCTGTATCCATCGACATCCTGCATGTCTTACCAGGTCGTCACTCTATCTAGTGGGGGGACGCCCTAGACTTCGCCAGTCGGAACGAGGTTGCTACTTGAGAACCTTTCTTTACCATCTGTAATCGGTTTTTCAAACTATATGGCCGGCCCATTGCCACTTCAGCTTACTAATCCGTTTAGCTATGTCGGTCACTCTGATTGTACTGCGGACATCCTCATTCCTAAGTATATTCCGCAGAGAAACCTCAAGCATTGCCCTCTCCATAGCTCGCTGAGCGACTTTGAGCTTCCTCATATGGCCAGCAGTGAAGGACCACGTCTCAGACCCATAGGCCATCGCTGGAAACACTGGTTGCACAATCTAGTTTTGAGATATGCCTGACGAGAAAACGTATCGTAATCTCTCGAACACTGTCCAGCTGAGTCGAATTCGTCGATTGACCTCTCGACAACTCGAAACAACTTCGAACTTAGTACCCACAACAACTACCGGCATAGGTGTGACGTCCATACTCATGATTTTTGTTATGTCCATGTTCATCTTAAGACCTATCTCCAGGGAGACACTATTTCATCAGATCGTTGAGCATAGTGCTTACGCCATCCAGCGATTCTGCCATAAAGACTATATCGTCGGTAAATCGAAGGTAAGTGATGTACTCGCCATTGACGTTAATACCGTATCCTTTCCAGTCCAGCAGCTTGAAAACGTCTTCCAATTCAGCAGTGAAGAGTTTAGGGGATATAATGTGCTTCACCTCACTGCATTTGGATAGGTTTCGTATTCTGGTTCTCTACTCGGATAGCCATCGTAGCCCTACTGTACAAACACTTCGGTACTTCGATATATGGACAGTCAACTTGGCACCGCTGAAGGGGCTGCAGCACCCTCCTAATTTCCACGGAATTAAAGGCTTTACTATAGTCCACATACGCGAGATAAAGTGGCAGATTGAACTACACGGACTTCTGAACAATGTGCCGAAGGGTATGTATGTGATCTATGGTGCCAAAACCTTTTCGGTACCATCGAAACCAACTTCTTCGGTAGGCTGGAAGTCGTCAAGTCTGCGTGCGAGACGATTCGTAATGACGCTAGAAAGACACTGCTCAGAACGACGCTGCTCAGAAGGGAAATCCGTCTGTGGTTCTTCAAGAGAGCGTTGTCCCTATTCTCGATGAACAAGACCACCGCACTTCTGCTCCACGCCTCACTTAGTAGTGCCACCATGGAAGACGGAATTGAAGGGCTTCTGAAGAACTTCAGGTACCAGTTTTCCACCCGCTTTCAGAAGCTCCGCTGTAATTCCATCCTCGCCCGGGGACTTTTCATCCATTCTAATCTCGCTCGCTTCTAATCTCGAGACTGATGTCCGGGATATCATCGGAATAGTGTCGGATAAGACTTGCTCTTGGATCGTTACTCACACTTGCGTGTGGCTCCAACGATGACGTTTACAGCCGCCCATAGAATCTCTCAATCTCACTCAAACTCTCAGGTGTCTCGAAAACGATGCTGCCACTCTCGGTCCTCAGCTTTGACTATTGACTCTTTCTGGCAGACAGATTTCTGGGAAAATTTTTGGAGCCCTGGTTCCGCTCGATCGCTTTTCAATACGAGCTGTATTGAAGTTGCGCAAGTCCCGCCGCATGTGTCTGGAGATATGTCTGTTTAGTTGCCTGTATGCTGTTTGATCTGTTGAAGACTGCAGCCTCATTTCCCATCTAACAGCCATGAGTTAAGAGTGCAGTTGAGAGTTCTTCTTCGGCGGGTCTTGCAGTACTTAGCTCCGACCGCATGGACAGTTTCCACAAGTTTGTCATTCACATCATTCACTTCATTGCAGTCTTCTAGGCACTGAAAATGGTTTTCTAACTCGAGATGAAAGTTTTCGGGGCTTTGGATTAGAGCACGAGGGAGCATCGGAGCATTGACTTCATTAGACTTAACCTCTCCAAAGTCATGTTTAGGCTCAGTGTTCCTCCCATCAGTCGGTGATTACTGCCAGTTTTCACATTTGCGACCACTGAAACATCACTGAACAGTTATCGTCTGGTCGTCATAATGAAGTCTCTCTCTCTCTCTCATTTACTGTCGAACCGTCGGTGCTCGACCAGGTCCACTTTCTGTGGAGCCGCTGTTGGAAGAAAGAGTTCATTATAAAAAGTTCATCTTTTTCCATAAAGTCGGCTAGCTGCTGGCTTCTTGGGTTTCGTTGCCCTATTGCGAATTTCCCTATTTTCAGCTTACGGTTCTCTCTTGTGCCTAATTTTGCGTTCAAACCTCCTATTAACAGCATGTAATAGATTTTGGAGGAATGTATGGCCCTAGATATATCCTCATACGTTTCCTGCGCCTCCTCATTGGGATATGCCGAGGTTGGTGCGTAAACCTGAATTAACTTGTAAAAGTGAATACCGTTTGGTGATTATGAGTATAAGATACGCAATCCTCGATGACATACACTCAATCTTTACAACGTTGTTTACGTGAGACTTGTGGACGATAAATCCGACACCTACTTGGAACAGATGTATCTCGGTGATAGAATAAGTTTCCAGAGTCGAGGATTACCGTGTCCTACCTCTCTTATCGGACCTCAGATAATCTTATAATATCTATTTTTATTATATATCTTATAATAGGAATAGCAGGTCCGCCGTGATAATGCCATAGTTGCCCCGCTTGGCGAGCGGGTTTGCAAATGCTATTTTTATAGCTTTATGCATGGTAGCGATCACCTCATTCCAGTTATTATCAATCATATACTCTTTAGTAGTAAAATCGTTACTAAACAATTATAGCTTATTATAGGTCAGTTAAAATAGACGTTTTTTTTGTCCACTTTGCAATTTCCGATCCAATTTTTATTTTTGAAGTGAAAACTTCTTTAGCGGCGTTGTACACTATTTTTTGTAATGGGTAAAAAAATGTTAAACTCGCGTCAGGACACGTGACCTGATCGAAAATTCTTAAGACGGATTGAGAGTAGACAGCCGGCGCGGCGTAGGAGAAGATAAACTTTTTAATGTAATATGAATTGTCATGTTTGTGTACGATAGCGGAATAAATAAATATTGTATTCTACCACATAAATGATAGTACTTTTATATTGAAAATTAAATCATTTCGTGAAAAATGATTTCCTAACCATTCCAAAATATCAAAAACGCACAACATTATTCAAGTTTTCACTTCTGCCAGCACTCCCGGAGTGCAACCCGTCGTTTTTTTTTATAAGGTTTAGGGTCACTTACTGAGCATAAAATCACAAAATGCTGACAGATCCAAGTTGTGCTTCAAGCCCCTTTTTGAAAAAACGTTTTAGGCCGATATCTCGGAAACTATGCACTTTAAGGCAAAGTTATCGAAACCATTTTTGTAGAGAATAAAATTTCGCATCTTTTGTTTCCAGTAAACTTTTTGTAAAACTTACCGTTTACGATTTATGGTCCATTTAATTAACCGGTTTTTCGATCGCTGCCGATAACTCTTGAAATATTAGAATAATCAATAAAATGCATGTATCCATTTTTAGAGACCAGTTTATTCTCTACAATTTTTGTTTCAAACATTTTTTTCTAATGTCCATACTTTTTGAGTTATAGGACGTTTAATGTTGGACTACCGGGCGTAAAGTTAAAAATTTCAAGATACGCATAGCTGCCGCGTCACCCGCCGAGCGTCGACCGAGCTCGGCCGTTGAGATATCGGCTGAAAACTTTTTTCAAGATGGCGCTTCAAGCGCCACCTGGATCTGTCAGCATTTTATGATTTTTTGCTCCGTAAGTGATACTAAACCTTATAAAAATAAAAATTGGATCGAAAATTTATTGCAAAGTTAAATTTTAATTTTACTGTACTATTAATAAAAATTTAAAACTTTGTAATAAATAAGTTCTGCATATTTTGTGGGACTTTGATGTAAAAGCGTATCCATTGGCCCATGACGTAATTACTGACTCTTTGGAGTCGAGTAACTGGAGAGGAGACTTGTGCCCAGTAGTGAGACGTATAATATAGGTAGACATTATTTAACACATAATTGTTTTCAGCGGAAGTTTATATGGCCATTGCTTTACAGAACTGCTTTTATTTTGAAAGTTACATATATATCAAAATTTGTTTTGAGAGTGTGTTATCAGGCCAAAACGAGCCAATAACCCATGCCATAACACAGTTGATTACAAAACTTAAAAATGTAAATAATAAGGATTAATTAAACGGTATGGCGTTCTAAAATAATACAGAATAAGTTCATTAGAACATTATAGAATAAACATAGTAAAACAGGCTTTAACAAAACAAAATACACATAAAACTGGCCGCCATGTATACTAGTACGCTGGACTAACACTACCCTACAAAACGTTTGTGCCGATTTGAAGCGCCGCCATTGATTGTACCGGGACTAAATTTAACATAATTTTCAACTGGCCATTGTTTCGCTCCAAACGTCTAAGAGTATTTTAAAGTTTAAACCGAGAAAAAGAGTGTGTATTTTGTATTTTGCTTATGTTTCATGGTAATGATATAATAATTAGTATTTTAAGTAATAAAACTATCACGGTGGCTATGTCACGGTGTCAAAATGTCTACTTATGATACTCTTTGGGTACAGAACAAAACACTTAATTTTTGAAAGTTGTTTAAAGGCAAAGGGTTTATACGCATGCAGCCTGGCGTGTCATTATGAGTTCGTCCTTATTTTGTTAAAATTACTTATCATATTTTTTATCTATTTCCATTTAGCAAAAAAAGGAAATTTTAAAGAGTTTAGTTTTGGTTCTTCCTACACCATGATCATTAATCATACCTTTTTGAGGATAACCTGGTATCTTCCCTCCTTCCCGAACTTGTCCTTGCCCCAACCGGAAGCAAAGCAACGAGTACCACCAGGGACTCTCTCGCGTGGTGGTGGCAGACATACCACACCGACGTTCGGTGTCAAATCCATGGGTTTTGCCAGGAATAATAATGCAATGTCATAGAAGAGATTGCCTGAAAGAGAAATTAGTGCTTTGTTTTCTACTTAGAGGTATTTTTTTCTAAAGTTTTTTTTTTTATAGAAGAGGGGGCAAACGAGCATGTGGCTCACCTGATGTTAAGTGACTACCGCCCCCATATTTAACTCGCGGTACAACATTGTACGGTTCTAGAGACACATAGACCTAATTCTACAAACAGTGACCCATCAGGTCCTGAACCAGGATCCAACCTACTTGCTGAGCGCTTTCGATTATCAAGCAGAATCCATATTTCGTCGCAGGTAACATTGCAGTACAAAATTCATTCGTTTGTGTGCTTGTCGAGCAGTGCAAGGCACGTGTCGATGCGTATTTCGCGCCTGCGATCATTGAGTTCATGGAACATCCAATTCAGAAGCTTTTTTACCTTGCGAATTTAACGCAAAGTTGCTACTAATTAGGCCGAAGAAGTGTCATCAGCATCCATAATCGCCTATAATTCGTCATTGTCGACCAAAGTTTTCACACGACCACGGGGTTCATTTTTCAGGTCGAAATTTCGCGAACGGAAGCGGGCAAACCAATAAATTCGATTGTAGTATTCGCTACGTAAACGTCGTTGATGTCGAGTGCCGCTTGTGCCACGTCGCTGCCACGACGGTACTCATATTTTAAAATTACTCAATTTTTAACGTATTCATGAATGAATGAATGAATGAATATACTTTATTGCACACCACAAACAAATTTACAAAGAACATAACAGAGAGCAGATTACATGTACAATTTGGCGGCCTTATCGCTACATAGCGATCTCTTCCAGGCAACCAAAGGTGTAAAGGAATAAAACAGTGAGTACTAGGTAGGTGGTGCAATATAAATATACCTAATATAATATGAATACATGCAATAAAATAACATATAAGTAAATAACTAATACATTAAAAAATATGATGCACATATACATACGTTTACATGAAACATACACACACACACATATATATATATATATATATATATATATATATATATATATCCATACGTATACATACATACATATACACACACACATATATACACATATATACATACATATATCCTCAAATATATACCACTAACAATAACATAAACAAATAAATACAAAACTACATAATCACATAATTTATCCTAATGATTTTCGAACGATTGAGACAAGTAATGCTCTTTAAAAAGTCGCTTAAAGACTACAATAGTCTGAGCTTCGCGTAAATACAAAGGTAGGGCATTCCAGAGCTTAATAGACTGTACAGTAAAAGATTTATTAAAGAAAGATGTATTGTAAGTTGGCACCCTTAAAATGAGTTTTCTTGAAGAGCGTAAATGTTCCCCTGGAAGCCCAACAAAACTACATTTCTCCTTAAGATAAGGAGGAGTAGAAGGGTGAAATAAGACACAGTACAGAATAGAAAGAATATGCATGTTCCGGCGAAATTGGATAGGTAACCACTTGAGACGTGAGCGAAATTGGGAAATGTGGTCAAATTTGCGCAATCCAAATATGAACCGAATACTAGTGTTTTGAAGTCTCTCAAGCTTAGTTAGCTGGTCTTTAGTTATGTCTACATAGCTTGCGTCAGCATAGTCGAGTCGGAAGAGAAGAGACTGTGAGAGCATAATTTTTGTAGGAATGGGAAGAAATGATCGAAGGCGACGCAGTGAACTAAGAGCGACAAAGGTTTTCTTACTTACCTCATTCAGTTGGCGTTTCCAATTTAAGGAACTATCAAGGTAAACACCAAGACTTTTGACATTGTCAAAGTAAGGGATCACAACCCCATCGAATACAACAGGTGGTATGGAGAACCAGTCAATTCTTGAGATAAAGCTCTGACTACCAAAAATGATAGCCTGTGACTTTTTAGGATTGACATTTAGGCCATATGATTGACTCCACTCATGAATCATATTTAAGTCATTGTTTAATGTAGCGATTGCATTTGGCAAATTCTCAAGAGTTGACTGGGTGTAAATCTGGACATCATCCGCATACATGTGGTAGAGAGAAGAAATTTTATGAGTAATTGAATTAATGAAAATGGAAAAGAGTAAAGGTGACAACACGCCACCCTGCGGCACGCCTGCAGTAATATCACACCAAGATGAGTGAGTTTCATCAACATGAATACACTGCCGACGGCCACAGAGATAACTTTGAAACCAGTCAATTACTGATGGAGATATGTTAAGGGAATACAACTGACTCAACAGTATATCGAAATGAACAGTATTGAACGCATTGCTGAAATCTAGCAAGGTCATGACTGTGAGTTGTTTATTATCCATACCCTACCGTATGTCATCAGTAACTTTAATTAAGGCAGTAGCCGTACTATGACCGGGACGGAAACCGGATTGTAAAAAATTCAACAAATTGTGCTTATTAAGGAAAAGTGTCAGCTGTTGGCAAATAAGTTTTTCAAGGACTTTAGAAAGGAAAGGTAAAATCGAAATGGGACGGAAATCAGTGAGGTTGACGGGATTAGATTTCTTCGGAAGGGGTATAACATAAGCACTCTTCCAGGCTTGAGGGAATTTAGAGGAAGATGCACATGCGTTAAGCAAATGAGTGATAATGGGAGTGATAACATCAAGGAGACGAACGATCATATTACGGCTAATGCTGTCGCTACCGACAGCATTTGAGGAGATGGATAATATGATTCTCTTAACATCACATACAGTAAATTGACTAAAAACGAACGGAGAATAATTAGGAGTCGGACTTACAGAAAGAGAACGAAGTGTTTGCAGTTTATGTTCACTATCAAAAGAGTTAGAAGGATGAAATGTTGATTTAATAGTTCAACATCAACACTGGGAGGTGAAGTATTAAGAGAGTTTCTACCAACTCCAACTGTTTTAAGAAACTTCCACACCCTAGATGAGTCGCCGTTCTCGACTGATGAATGAATATGGGGTCGTTGTGCATCTCTACACAATGTGTTTCAGCGATTCCGGATTTTAGTGTATTTTCTAAGGTTCTCCTCTGTTTTGTTCCTCTTAAGCTTTGACAATGCCGCATTTTTCTTCAAAATTAGCCTTTTCAGATCATCAGAGAGCCATGGAGCAGGTAAGTGCTTGAGTTTAACATAATGCATTGGCGCGTGTACGTCATATAGCTGAGTGGGAAGGGAATTGAAAAGTTCCACTTTATCGTCAATGCATGGTGCTCTCTCAATCACTGACCAGTCAATATTATGAGCATTTTCGCAAAGTTGGTCAATATCCATTCCTCAAAATTACGTCGCAGAACTAATTTAGGTTTGATTTTAGGAGGGCGTAGTTTATACGAAAGGAAAAGTAAATCGTGATAAGAGAATGCATCAGCAGGACACTGTCCATGCTTGAAAACTAGGTTTGAAGATGACACGATAATTAAGTCCAGAAGGGAAGGAGTAGTTCATGATGACGAAAAAGATTCCAATGCCATGGAAACGTAAACTAATCAATAAAGAAATTACTTATTTTAAAAGAGAATTCCATGTTTTTAAAATAAAATTAATAAGAAATTAGAATACTTAGCCAAACAAAAATTATTTAGATTTTTTTAAAATTCGGTGTAGATCCCATGTAATTCTTATTGAGAGTTTTTTTTACTTTGTCACTGGTTTGGAAAAAATTCTTTGTCCTAGAAAAACCAACAAAACCCAATGTACCTTTTTCAAAAAAAAAATTACAATATGAATGGTTACAAACTATTTACAAAATTTATTTTAGAAACATAAATAAGGGTTATTATTAATCATGTTTTCATACAGTTTTTGTTTACTAAAATATTTAAACTTGGTAATAGAGAGATCTTGTATTATTTCTGGGAGTTTGTTGTAATAGCGTAAACATTGCCCCAAGAATGAATTACTGATTCTATGGAGTCGAGAAACTAGTATCACAAGCTTGTGTTTTTTTCCTAGTATTTACAGAGTTTATATCACTTTTTTACTAAAATTACCTTTGTTTTTGTGATCATACATACATAAAATTTTCTTAAAGGAGTGGCCGAGAGTTCAAAGTTTATATATTGGGTACTTACATATGAAATTAGCGTTTTGTCGTACTGACCATTTTGATCTGAAATATGTCCTCTTTGGTTAAGAATTCCAAATTCAAATTTATAAATTCATTTGTCAGGTACATTTAAGTTTTGAAAACAGTCATTCATTTGTTTTTTCTTCATTATTTTTTTCTTTGGCGTCTTTTATTACCGCAAAATGGAAAACATGAAATATCGGTATATTTACAAGTACGAGTTCTACCGTGGCACCAGTGCTGCAGAAACAGCTCGAAGGATTAATTATGTGTACGGCACTGGTGTCGCAAAAGAAATACGGTACGTTTTTGGTATCAACGTTTTCGTTCTGAAAATTTCGACCTTCAGAACCGGGCTAGCCTTCGGTTCAGGCCGTGGACGGCCGGAGACCAAGGTGGGAAATGAAGAATTAAAGGCTATTGTGGAAGCGGATCCATCACAAACCACTTCAGGCTTCGGGGTAAGTGATAAAACTGTATTAACCCACTTGAAGCAAATCGGGAAAGTGAAAAAACTTGAACGATGGGTACCAAAAATTAAGGTATTTTAAATCGAATCATAACTTGTGATGAAAAGTGGATACTGTACGATAATCGGAAGCGCTCGTCGCCATGGCTGAACCCTGGAGACCCAGCCGAATCCTGCCCTAAACGAAAATTGACTCGGAAAAAGTTATTTGTGAGTGTTTAGTGGACTAGCGCCGGTGTCGTTCACTACAGCTTTCTAAAATCTGGCCAAAAGATTACGGCTGATGTCTATTGTCAGCAACTACAAACCATGAAGGACGAACTAGCTACTAAACCACCGAGATTGGTCAATCGCTCTAGGTCAATGCTGCTTCACGACAACACAACAAACAACCACTAAGTTAGATGAGCTACAATTGGAATGTCTGCGATCCACCGTCATCATCCACCGTACTCCCCGGACCTTGCTCCTACAGATTACCATTTATCCGGAATTTGGACAGCTTCTTACAAGAAAAAAAAATTCTACTCCGATGCGGCAGTCCAAACCGCCTTCAAAGAGTTTATTGATACTCGCCCCCATGGTTTTTTCAGTAAAGGGATCAATGGACTACCTATGAGATGGCAAAAGTGCATAGATAACAACATTTTACAAAAAAATTGACTTTATATTCCTCCCGTACAAAACGCCAATTTCATATGTAAGGATCTATTATTTATTTCTTTAAATTTTTCTCTAAGCCATTAATGAGTACTGCAGAACGGCAATTTTATAGGTAACCGATTATAAATTTAAAAATTTAAGCGAGTGTGGTCGCTAACCAACTTTAATTCGTTATAGATCCTAAATGGCCATTAAAAATGAAAAATGATTACAAAAACCTAAATAGGATTTTCAAAGACCTAATCACTGATACTTGACATAGTCTTCGACTTTGATTTTTTTACAAGATTTTTTCACACTCAAGATTAAGACTGCCCAAGCGTTTTCTTTCTAGAGTGCCATAAAGGAACAGATATACATACATTGGCTGATAAACACATTATCGAGTCGAACTTCGAGTTACAAGTAGAGACCGATAGATGGCGGTTTGACCACCTTGTGTATCTTCATCTTCTTCATCAGTCCATAAAATTCCACTGCTGCACGTGGGTCTTGTGCGTTAAAAAAAATTAACCTTAATCGCTACGCCAGAACAGATATCTTGAAACTGATGCTGCTACCCGTAGCCAGTCAGGATCTGGCGTAAACGAAATCGTTGTGTTGGAAAACATACGAACTTATAGGCATTTACCACAGTTACCTTATACGACACCTTACCTCCACAGTTTGGTAAAAATAATTAGGTCTTTGTGTCTCTATCACAGAAATCGTAATAATAGAAGTCGCATAGACGCGTAAGGTTGTCATCACTATCATGTGTTGACGAACATCATTCACCATTTTGTGATTTAGTTGCGCGGGAAACTTCGTACGTGAGTTTATGCTATTATAGTGGTGAACTCCAGCATAATCAGTTGTAAAAACTCATCAAGGATATTTATCATTGACAATTACCATTGGTGCTTTTGTTCTACCGTAATACGCGACGCACGCGACGTTGAAAAAGTCATCAAGCAATGTATTGTGAAACATTAGATGCCACTGTGGATTGCGTATATTTATAATATAGCTCGCAGCCATCGGCGCGGCAAGCAGGCATCGGTCGCTTAATGCGTATGTTAAGATGTGCCGACATCGGTTTTGAAAGTAATCGAGCGCTAATTCATTTCTATTGTCTTATTATTACTATTTCTGTGGTCTCTATGTTCCAAAAGTCGGCCCCTTGTGTAGTTTTTAAAAAAAAAACGAAAATCATTTTCTGATACACATGGAGTTATATATCCCACTTACCTTTGTTAAAGTCTTTGTGAACTTCGATTCTGGCCACGTCCCTATCCTGGTGTGGATAGATCTCCTTAGTGGTTTGGGTATCCCATTCTCCAGCTCTGGCCACTAGAGCTTCAGCTCCGGCGACATTGTGCGCTGCTGTCAGCACAATACTAGGATGGATCAGGGATCCACCGCCGACGTAGACATTCAGCTTCTGGCCGTTGGGCTCGTTGTCGTTCACAGGCTCGATTCTGGGGTCAACGTAATCCGAACTTGACATTATATTAATTTGTAGGTCCTCTGTGTTTAAAGGTGCGATATATGCCAGGTTTTTATATTTAAAATTGATTCTTTTTCCTGTACGATACGTTTTACAAACACAGTGCAGTAAAACCCTTTTAAGAAAGAAAATTCTCGTATATCAACTTATACACCTCACCTATCTTTATAGGATAGGGAGACAAACGAGCACACAGTCCACCTGATGGTAAGTGGTTGTGTTTGTTGTTGTGGCGTGGTAATGCATTATTTTAACTGATTTTACTGCGCAAGCACACGTTCGTAAGGGTCGATCGGTAGGCGAAAACGTTGTTGCCCACAAATCACATTTAATTTGGGATAGTTTCAAATAAAAGTACAAACCTTATTTACTCGTAATTTCAAACACTGTAATAACGGAATATCATTATTTATATATTTGAACTTAAGTTTAAGATTTGACTGCTCTTTGAAAAATAACCCTGTATTTAATATATTTCGTATATCATCATCATCATCATCATTACAGCCCTTCACAAGTCCACTGCTGAACGTAGGCCTCCCCCAAGTAATGCCACAAAGCACGGTCCTGAGCCACCTGCATCCATCGACTTCCTGCATGTCTTACCAGGTCGTCACGTATATCACTATTCATTAATTACAGCGTGTCGAAGGGAACTGTGCGATAGTTTATCCAGATAGAATGGTGATTTACGAGGAGATTGCCTCGTGTTTGCCACTGTCGCTACCCTTATCACATGGGCTGGCAACCTGGCAAGGTCGGCAACCTTTGAATTGCTATCGGATGGCATCGGTACCGTTTCGTAGGCGGTGTAAGAATATCCACTATTAAATATCATTCCGTGGATGTCGTAAGAAGCGACAATGGTATACCAATCAGGAGAAGGGCAGCAGCGTCTTCGTAATAACGATTGTAAATAATAAACCGTTGTTGCCAACTATGCTATGGCAGGTATCCCCCATGAGGCAATCTATGGAGGAGGCCTATGTTCAGTAGTGGATCTTCATCATCATCATTACGGCCCTTCACAAGTTCACTACTGGACATAAGCCTTCCCCAAGTAACGCCACAAAGCACGGTCCTGAGCCACCTGCATCCATCGACTTCCTGCATGTCTTACCAGGTCGTCACTCCATCTAGTGGTCCTCGCCCTACACTACGGCTACCGGTACGAGGCTGCCACTCGAGAACCTTTCTTCCCCATCGGTTATCGGTTCTTCGAGCTATATGGCCGGCTCATTGCCACTTCAGCTTACTAGTCCGTTGGGCTATGTCGGTCACTCTGGTTTTACTGCGGATATCCTCATTTCTGAGTCTATCACGCAGAGAAACTCCGAGCATAGCCCTCTCCATAGCTCGCTGAGCGACCTTGAGCGTCCTCATACGGCCAGCAGTGAAGGACCACGTCTCAGATCCGTAAGTCATCACTGGCAACACGCACTGGTTGTACACTTTAGTTTTCAGAGATTGAGGACGACCTGACGAGAAGATGTGTCGTAATTTCCCGAACGCTGCCCAGCCGAGTTGAATCCGTCGATTGACCTCTCGGTCGAAGTTGGACTTACGTAGTCGGACTATTTATTCCAGGTAAACGTACTCGTCAACAACTTCGAGCATAGGTGTGACATGGACATTGAACATAATATTTGTTTTGTCCATGTTCATCTTAAGACCTATCCGTTGTGAGACACCATTGAGGTCATTGAGCATAGTGCTAAGGTCCTCCAGCGATTCTGCCATAAGGACTATATCGTCGGCAAATCGAAGGTGAGTGATGTACTCGCCATTGATGTTAATACCGTATCCTTTCCAGTCCAGTAGCTTGAAAACGTCTTCCAACGCAGCGGTGAAGAGTTTCGGGGATATAACGTCACCCTGTCTTACACCTCTCTGCAGTTGGATAGTGGATCTTAATAGACTTAAATGGTCACAGTATGTATTTATATATTTCTAAAACAAACTAGTGGTTGGATTTTATGTCTTACTTCAAAACGGCAACCATCCAGGGGAATTCACCGAATTTGGACTCGCCGTCCTTGTCGCCAGTGATGCGGAACCCCACGCCTTCGATGTTTCGCCAGCCGCAGCCCTGACGCTGAAAAAGGCAGTAGAATATAGTAAAAATACGAAGGTAAAGGTTAAGAAATATAGCCGTGGTAGCTCTCAAATTTCACAGTGCGCGAGCAACCCGAGTTCGATCCCCGCCAGCACCAGTAAAATTGTTAATTGCAATTTTAAATGCTGATTTACCACATGTTCGGCAGTAAACGAAAACAACGTGAGGAAACCTGCACGTCTAAGAAGAAAAAAAAGGGAAATATTTCGAAGTTTGCCAACACGCATTGGAGCAGCGCGGTGGAAATTTCCTTGCGCAGCAGTGGGACGTACGTAGGCTGTAACTTCTACTAACTGTAACTTCGGCCCTTTCCATAATTCGGTTGTTTTATACTATTAATTATTAACCAGTGCTATTTTAACTTATAATACCAGTGAAAAGTACTAGACAAGCGCTTTTAGTTTGTTTTTAGGTTATTGTGTTATTCGTATTTCAATTGTTAATTTCTCAGTATTCCCGTTAAGACGCGGTAAAATTAATATTGCTATTGTAATCTATACATTATAAGAAATAAATCGACATGCATTTTACTAATAGACGCTAAAGTTAGTGGTGGGCCCATTCTACATACAAAAATTTATTGTCTCCTTTAAACCCTGTATTCTCTAAATTTGACTATGAATCATACTTTTTTTTTATAGTATAGGGTTGCCAAACAAACATACATTCCAAAGTAAGTGGATGCTGCGATCCAACCACATCTCTATCTATCTTCGATTAAAAATAAAAATTCAGTTTCATTATCACCCCTGAGGGCTAAGATTGAATAACTCGGTTCCAGTAGAAAGGGTCTCTGGTTCTCTATACCTACTATATTTATCACACGTAATTCAGCAACATCATGCTGCCTTATTTTACGCTGGTATTCTGTGAGAGTGTGGTGCTTCTCCGGTAGGGCAGACCTATTCGTACTACAAACATAATATAGCTGCAACATGACTCTGTCACGCAAATTTTACGTTGATAAATTTAAGTTCAAACCTTAGAAGATTCAGCTCTTTTAAGTTGGCTTTACTTTTTTATACAATAGAGGGAAAAACAAGCACAAGACACACTACCTGAATGTAAGTGGTGGCTATGGCCCATAGAAATCTACTAGTTAAAACTATTCTCGATAAAGAGTGAAAGTGCAAACGTTTTCTCACCATTGAGAACAAAGATGGAATGCCTCTTCCAGTTAAAGCCTATAGAACATAGCTATAATTCTTAATTAAATAAAGTCTATATATATATATATATATATATATATACATGTTTTATATATATATATAAATATAAATTGTAGGTTGTAAGTGTTTATAATAGTTAGTTATTAAGCTCTCCCAGGGGTTTTATAGCCGATTTTTAGGGTTCCGTAGTCAACTAGGAACCCTCATAGTTTCGCCATGTCTGTCTGTCCGTCTGTCCGTCCTCGCTTAATCTCTGTGACCGTTAGCACTAGAAAGCTGAAATTTGGTACCAATATGTGTATCAATCACGCCGACAAAGTGGTAAAATAAAAATTGGAAAAAAATGTTTTATTAGGGTAGCCCCCCTATATGTAAAGTGGGAAGTGATTTTTTTTTTAATTTCAACCCTAACGTGTGATATATTGTTGGAAAGGTATTTAAAAATGAATAGGGGTTTACTAAAATCATTTTTTGATAATGTCAATAATTTCGGAAATAATCGCTCCAAAAGTAAAAAACAATGTGTCACCCCACTCTAACTTTTGAACCATAAGTTTAGAAAATATGAAAAAAATCTGAAAAGTAGAACTTTATAAGGACTTTCTAGGAAAATCATTTTGAACTTGGATGGAAACAACAGTACCCACTACTGGGAGCTGTTGTAGGAGCGCGGAGCGCTGCTGGAGCGCGAACATAATGGATACCCACCCATTGACGTCACGGACCATTGATTTATATGTTATAGGTAAGTAATTTCCGCGCCAAAGCGTTGTCACTTCACATAAGGCCACAGCCTTATACTCAGCGAACGTCGGTTCAGTGTTCAAGGTGACGCCGTCCGAGTTAAGCCGAACGATTCACAACAAAAAATGGGTAAATGCGTAGTGAAAGAATGCGTTTCAAGGTCACAAAAACATAATAATCACGGAATCACTTTCCATACGTAAGTTTTAATTTATATATTCATATTAACGTTTAAAACACTAAAAAATTAAATAAAATATCGAATATTGCAATTTAGGTTCAATGTTGCCACTTTTCCGCCTTTGTGATTTTTCCACATTAATGGGAGACTGTATAATTTATGGAATAAGTTAATTTTGTTTTAAAATAAACAAGTAAAATTGATTGCTTAAAAATAAAAACTATGTTTCAACCTTTATACAAAATAATTATTCTTATTTTATTTTATTCATGAATTATCTATTAAATATATTTTACTACCTTATATCTTATATTAATAATTTTATATTAATTAAAATTTCATATAAATTTTATATTAATTATATTTCACTACCTATTTTATATTACTTGATTTATTAGTACAGTAAAAAATATTTATAAAAATATGTTTTATTTCATCATTATGTACTTCTAACTCATCTGATAAGCTTTGTATTCTTTTTTTCTAAGGGGACGCAATAAAGATTTTAAAATAAAATATACTTTCTTAATATAAAAACAATTAACTGAAGCTTAAAAAAAACTCATTTTTATTGCGTATTTTAGGTAAAATTTTATATAGTAAGCCACACCAACCCGCCATTGCATGTTTGTGTGTCTATCTTTATCTAATTTTAGCGGCGATATTGTTTACGTAACTTGTGTAAGTGAGATAGATATATGTTTATTTAAAATTGTTATTAGTTTCAAAGCTACGTCGTCGCGTTTGGATAGTGGTTACACATTTTTCGACGCGCGGTAATGTGGTTTGCTCCTCTAGTGTTGTATAACTCAATGTCACGGACGGTGTACGAACAACAAAGATTGCTCAGATTTTTAATTCGTAAAAATAGAAATAAAGTTTGTTTCGGCCTATTAACATAATATATAAGTGAAATAGTACATGAATTTTCTGTGTGAGCGGTATGGTGTTGTAACTTAAATGATTGTGAGTTTTTTTCGCCTAATCTAATCTAGAAGATCTTAGACATTCTAAGCCCAGAAGAGGGTACATAGATATATATATATATATATATATATATATATATATATATATATATATATGCATAGTAGCATTGATAACAACTAGTTGGTGAGTTTAATTAGCGCCATCTTTTGTACAACAGTCTTAGCACCCATTAAACTCAATATGCCAAAGTGTGGAGCATGTGGTAAATTTCTTACGTCGACAGGTGCCGTTACTTGTACTGTTTGTGCGATTGTGTTTCATCGTGGATGTCTATTAGTATCTGATACGGCAACTATAAGCAAAGATTGGGCATGTCCAGAATGCAAAAAGGAAGTCATGAAAAGGGGACAATACATCTACTCCTGTAAGAGGGATATCTGGTAACATATCACAAGATAATGTGTCACCTCGGGAGGTCACTACTAGTCCACCCTGCAGCGATTTGTCTAAGACATTACACATGAAATCTGGTGAAGAATCGATTGCACAAGAGCTCAGTCGCCAGTTAGTGACCTGCACAGCTGAGATGCGTGAACTGCGAAAGGAGATTAGTGAACTTCGAGCGTCCGTATTAGGGTTTAGTGAGCGTATGGATGGCATTGAGCGTAGGCTTGAGATAATTGAGCAAAGGCACAAACCCTCCGCAGTAGAGGTTGACGAACTGGAGCGAACGGTGAATTCGTTAAAACTAGAACTCAACGATCGGGACCAAGAGGCACTGCTCTCGGATCTGGAGATCGGGCATCTACCGGAAGAAAAGGGTGAAAATATCATTCACACCGTGTCCGTGCTCGCAGCCAGACTAGGTGTGCCACTAGAAGAGCGAGACATAGTGTTCGCGGAGCGCATGGGAGCGGTCCAAGCGGCGGCTAGTGGCGGGTCGCCGGGTAGCGTAGTACCGCGGAGCCGCCGCGTCGTGGTGCGGCTGGCGCGCCGTCAGCTGCGCGACGAGCTCTTGCGCGCCACGCGTGTGCGCCGCACACTCACCACCACGGAACTGGGCTCAGCCGCCCCGCCACACCGACTTTACGTTAACGAGCGACTAACCCGTTACAATAAGCAGCTTTTCTACAAAGTCCGTGAAGCGTGCCGTAAATTCTCGTGGCGTTACTCGTGGACAAAGAGAGCTCGCATTTACGCGCGCCAAGGTGAAGGGAAGCCAGCCTGCTATATTCGTACGGAGGATGACTTTGTTCGTATTTTTGGTTCCGATAAGGTTTGAAATAACGTCTTGTCATGATTTCAAGAGAAAGTTGAATGTACATTTTATACCAAATTATTGTATTAGTAAGATTGTGTACTATATACTTCTTTACGTCAAATATGTGGGGAATATTTATTTGGAACAATTTATACAACCATCAAATTATAAATATTATTTTTATTTATTGTATTATATTATAATATATATCCTTGCATTCTCTATTAACTTAAACAATCATCAATTCGCATATTTATATTGTTTATTTATCTATAATTATGACTACACCATACTACTTTGCGGGAGAATTTATATACCATTAATATGTTTGTTACCGACCTTAACATCCGTATCTACTTATAACGCACAGACTGGTCATTTACTAGCTTCTGTAATAAAGAATAAAGTATTCATATACTATTTGAAATGGGTAATTTGAAATACTTAAAAGTTGGTTTGTTAAACGCAGGCTCCTTGGGTTCTGGGCATGAGGAATTCATTGTGGCCATGAAAGATCTAAAGCCCGACATTATGGCCATTAATGAGACATGGCTTAGGGCTGGAGAAGAGGCGAAAGCTCCCATACTGGATGAATATCGTTTGCGACATAATCCTAGGCCTCAGCAAATTAAAAGAGGAAGAGGCGGAGGAGTAGGCTTTTATATACATAAAAATTTGGCATTTAAAATTTGTCCAC